GGGGTCAATTACAATCATTTTTGGTCATTACATATATCCCTGAAATCCTACCCACTTTCTAGAAAAAAATTCGAGAAGGTGTGAAATTTTCGACGAAAAACAAAAATTTCAAATCGTTTTGGAAAAATTATTTTCGGTTATGAGGGTCAATTACAATCATTTTTGGTCATTACACACACCCCTGAAATCCTACCCACTTTCTAGAAAAAAATTCGAGAAGGTGTGAAATTTTCGACGGAAAACAAAAATTTCAAATCGTTTTGGAAAAATTATTTTCGGTTGCGGGGATCAATTACAATCATTTTTGGTGAATAGACATACCCTCGATATCCTGCGCATTTTCGAGAAAAAAATTCAGTAGTGGTGGAACTTTAAATGTTAATAACTTTTTAACAAAGCCTCCATCAACAAATTGGTATTCTTGATTTTCGTCTTATTTTGGCCTCTAGAAAGGGTCATTAAATTAAGCCTTCACCAAAATTTCATTCCTGATAATTAGAGTTCTGCATACTGTTTACTAAAATTGGTGTCAATTTTTTAGTTTATCTAGGTCGAAATCTTTTTTGCAACCCTACAAATATCCACAATAGAAGTTTGCACTATATGAATCAGAAATGTTTAGTTAATGTATGACAGCAGAGCAGCAAATTTTCTTTATCTTAAGTACTCAAGCTATATATAAGTTATCTATAGGCGCCTATCCCTTGCTTATCGTAGGAAAACAGAAGATTATCGTGGATTACATGGAATTAATTGTTAAATTGCCCATTCACTTCAGTACACACTTGATATCTTCTTATCGTCTAATTTTGTTCTTTTTTTTCCTGCATTGAGTCACTTTTTGCACCATTAATTTTATTCAATTATTTAAATGTTACTCATTCCCACAGCTTTGTTTTTAAAGTCAGTGTCTCTTAAACAATTTCTAAATGAAAATTTCTTTAGCTTTTACATCCTCAATTCGTATTTTATAAAACCAATTTTGTGGAAGCATGTTAGACAACTTTGATATTTTTTCACATATAAAATTCCATTTCTACGTTAGAATAATGATATGAATCACAATTAATTACACTAGAAACACATATGTATCTAACGAAAGATGTGTATTGCAAGAATTCACAATAGTACCAACTCTGCTAAATCTGATTCATCGATTAATAGAATATCAGTGACAGAGATATCGTATCAGTGGCAGTGATATCATCCCACCAAGAAGAAAATGGACAAATTTCTATGAAAAGTGATAGTGATTTTGGAAATCTGGAAGAAAACGTACCGTCGAGAATATTACAGAAACAGACGATCTTCAAAGAAGAATAAATTCGATCAAACATCCTCTAACAACCAGACCACGAGTACCAAGCAACATAAAAAACTCGACCATTTTACTCGACGATCTTCGAACAAGAATAAATTTGGTCAAACATTCTCAAACAACCGAACCACAAATACCAAAGCAACATAAAAGAATCAATCGACTATTTTACTCTATGTTTTACGAGCAATTTACTAAACAATACAAGGAACAAATTATTATGTTAACGAATAAACAAGAAACAAGTAGCTATCACGCAAATCAATTTGGCAGAAGTGGCATGACTCTGTGTTTAGATTACTCTAAACGTGGGAATAGTCGAAGCACCAAATATGCAAAAATATTGGTCAACTGTTTCCAATAGCAAAATACCTTTTTCCCCCCTGAAAAATTAAATACTTCGATATCGATCACATCACTACCCTCGTATCGCATATAAGCTACAAAAGAATTTTTAATTAAAAAATCTCAATATTCAATATTTAAACAAAGGACAAACACGTTACCATCTAAAAAACTGAACCATTTTGAGTTACTAACGCATTTAGAAAATATGGAAAACAACTTTTAATGAATGTTTCCTAAATGTTATTTTTTTTCTGAGATTTTTAAAGTTCAGTAAATAATTTTTTTCATTAGTTTTTAGCTTCTGAAAAACTTAACTTTTCGAGTCGTAAAAAAGAATGTCATCTTTATTCCTGATAGTTTACTTGATTAAAACAATTTGTAATAGCTCGTGCGGACCACCCGGTATATAATGACATACGAAAAAAAGCCCTTAAAACCGTGTTTACGATGTTCTGCACGATGCGTTACGTGAATGGAAATCACACCCTTAGACGATTACCTGTTGGACCTATTCTCTGTTACGTTGGCCAGCTTGCCAGCCACACAGCGTGAGGAAAAGAATGTGTTTACGCCCCGTAAATATACCAATGAAATCTAGGAAGATGCAGAGTGATTTTGTTTCACACACTAACGAGTGAATGCCGTATACAACCATAAACTCGTAAATATATTCTTCGGGAGGGGAGGTACTTAGAAGTCCCTCCCCTCGTCCTCCCCGTTTCTCTTCCACTCACCCTTCTATGCATGCGTAAATGTTGCTAATATTACACGATCACGAGAGAATCACAGCCCGATTTACCCGAGCATAACAAGGATGCATTGTTTTTTTACATAGATGAATATCCCAACAGAAACTGAAAGGGAACAATTAAACAGACACCCCCCCAAAAATAATCATGCGATAAGGAGACTTCTTACTTTGCGCAATTTTCATTTCATCTTTATGGGAATGGTACTAATGCATCACTGGGATCTTTGCGATTAAAACAAGTCCAAACACCGCATAAATTAAATTACTTTTAACTAAATAATATAATATTTTAATGTACTATTTTAAATTAACAAATTACACGAGTAGTTTAGTTTCTGTTTTTTGTTACACGTTAACTTAAATCTTTTTAAAGAAAAATAATCTGTAATGTAATTTGGTCCACGTTTCCCTCTACTTTATACTGTGGCGACATTTCCTGCAGTCGCCAGCAGATGGCTACGCTCTCTCGCGAGTACCGACATATTCCTATGCAAGGGTGTTCGGGCAACCCTGGGAAAAATTTTAATGGGAGATTCTGGAGGCCAAAATAAGACGAAAATCAAGAATATCAATTTCTTGACTGAGGCTTCGTTAAAAAGTTATTAACAATTAAATTAAAAAATTTCAAATCGTTCTGGAAAAATTATCTTCGGTTGCAGGGGTATATTACAATCATTTTTGGTGAATACACATACCCCCGAAATCCTACCCACTTTCGAGAAAAAAATTCCAGTAGGTGTGAAATTATTCGACAAAATTACAAAATTTCAAATCGTTTTAAAAAAATTATTTTTATTTGCAGGGGTATATTACAATCATTTTTGGTGAATACACATACCCCCGAAATCCTACCCACTTTTGAGAAAAAAATTCCAGTAGGTGTGAAATTATTCGACAAAATTAAAAAATTTCAAATTGTTTTGAAAAAATTATTTTTAGTTGCAGGGGTATATTACAATCATTTTTGGTGAATACACATACCCCCGAAATCCTACGCACTTTCGAGAAAAAAATTAGTTACTGAAAATGTACTGTCTGACCATACGCGTACCTATTTCCCTTAAATTTCAAAAAAAAAATTCGAATCGTCGTGAAAAAATTATTTTCGGTTGAGGGGGTCAGTTACAATCATTTTTGGTGAAGAAACATACCCTCGAAATCCTACCCACTTTCTAGAAAAAAATTCGAGAAGGTGTGAAATTTTTCGACGGAAAAAAAAAATTTCAAATCGTTCTGGAAAAATTATTTTCGGTTGCGGGGGTCAATTACAATCATTTTTGGTGAAGAAACATACCTCCGAAATCCTGCGCATTTTCGAGAAAAAAATTCAAAACGGGCGAAACTTTAAACATTAATAACATTTTAATGAAGCCTCAATTAACAAATTTGTATCCTTGATTTTCGTCTTATTTTGGCCTCTAGAATCCCCCATTAACATTTTTCCCAAGGTTGTCTGAACACCCTGTATATGAATATACTCCTCGATCAATCATTGTGCGTTCCAATGTCTAAGGCAGATCCATGATGAAATCCTTTCTGTTTCTTTAGAAATTATTAAAAATCTCCAAGTTGCATAACATAATTAAACTCAGTCGAAAATAGAAAGTTTGATTTATATCATGTTTGGATTTGATTTTAATCGGCTGAATTCTAGAAACGCATCGGTACCATTCCCTCGTATATTGCATGATTATCGTTTGTTGTCGCTACTCGACATTACTATATCTACCTTTCTTTGTCTGGGTCCTCTGGATTTAACGAAATTCAACAACCATACATCGCTGTATTTACATTACAATCCCTTAACTCGTACAATGTTTAACACGATTATAATCCCTGTAATATCCCTTTTGCATTGTGAGTTTCAATTAATAATAGTAAACCGAACTTTCTGAGATTTGCAGTTGCAGTTTTTATAGTAATCACTAAACACTTTATCTATTTACATGTGAGTGCATTATTCGTAGTAAAGTACAACCGCATTCTTTCTGCGTACAACAGACATCGACGTGCTTGTTTAATATGTTTTTTTTTTTCCATCAAACTGCACACTATACATATACTGTTGGTATAATATAAAATAAAAGGTTCCCTAAATCCCAACATTTTCTGATTAATGGCAAATATATTGGTAAATATTTAGGATGTTGTAAGGGACCATGGCTACAGAATCATCATTTTTCGATAAGAACGTACAAAATTCCGTTCCGTACGTGAACATTACATTGATATACAAATAACGTTACAATCGATTGTACTACGAATAAAATTATTAGAATACCGAACGATACAGGTTGAAAAACTACATGACCATTAATGATACCGATGTACAATGGTAACTATGGTGGTTTCTTTTTTTTCTTCACATATATCTGAGAATAACTTTTTTCTCTACAAATTGTTGTTGTTTTATTCTGTTCGTACTGTATTCAAGAATGGATTGTGCGTGCGTGCGTGCGCGTGATAAATTGTTTTTCTTTCATATCAAATAGTACGTTAACCAATAGTATTATGATTTTATTATTATTTCTGCTTCGTTCGTTCGCTGTCGATACACATTTATTAACATTGTTCTTTAAATAGCTTCGTCGCCGGAGTTATCCTAAGAGAACGCATCCCTGCATTCGAACGCATGCTATGGCGTGCATGCCGCGGTAATGTATTTTTACGCCAAGCTGAGATCGAAGCCCCTTTGGAGGATCCCTCAACGGTAAGTTGAACACTCAGACCTGCTCATGGTACTCTATTCTCTTCTGAAATTGTTTCTACGTATCGCGATGCTTTCTTGTAGGCGGATCAAGTCTTCAAGTCTGTGTTTATCATATTCTTCCAAGGAGATCAGTTGAAAACTCGAGTTAAAAAGATCTGCGAGGGGTTCAGGGCTACGTTGTACCCGTGCCCCGAGGCGCCCGCCGATCGACGTGAAATGGCTATGGGCGTCATGACGCGAATCGAAGATTTGAACACGGTAAGATACTTATTTTTTCAATTAAGGGGTCTGGTACCTCTAGCGGTATGGAAAACGAGGCATTTTTTTAAGCAACACTGAAGATAAAGTAAGCATTCAATTATCCTGAAACTTTGCACTGTATTTAGGTGTAACAAATGTTGAAAAAAACCCTTGGCAATGTTTAAAAAATATTTATAATTAAGCCTACACAGCGCCATGTTCCCGAGCCACTTCTTGTTTTGATGGCCAGCTGGTGTGCAGGATTGTGGTAAAATGGTTGTTATGTACAACAAAAACCGAAATATTCCATTAACTATGATAAATGTCCTAGGCATTGACGATGAGACATTTCAATTTATATAAAAATTAACAATGTGGCAGATATTTGAAACTTAAAATCGAATTTTAACACAAAAACGAGTTCTTATTACGAATATTTTGCAGAATTATTTGACAATTTTGAAAAAAACGGATCGTCAATGCCTAATAAATATAATAGTAAAGATAACTGTAAATTTTCAAAGCAATTGATTAATTAGAACTGGAGTAATGCTGCACACCGTTTTGTAAAACATAGTTCCGAGGAAAATGCATTTAAAAGTCGTACCCTCCCAATTATGTACATACGTCTTAACGCGCTACAGGACGCAGATACACGTCATCGTTTGGGGCTCTAAATTTTCAGCAAAAACATTGTTCCGACACTGAGACCTTTCGCATAATGTTTTTAAGGCTTCAAACTATTATTTAAGCCATCGAATTTTTCAATATTCTAGAGTTACCAGACCCCTTAAATTTCAGGGGGCTGGGGGGGTCAAATAACAAACCCAACAGACTGGCCGTAAAGCGTCTATAACAGACTAATCTTCTTCAAACCTCCCTTCAATATACAGGGTGGTCCACGCAATTGTTACAAGTCATAACTCCGTTATTATTGCATCTCCGAAAAAATGCCAAAGGGGAAAGATAAATGGTTCGAAGAGCATTACATCTGTAGGTCTTAAAATTTTTTTTAGATGCAGCAGTGCATGTGCAATTAACAATTGCATCGTTTCTTTAAATAGAAATGCATATTTTTTTTTACACAGATAGATTCTTCTGTTCATTCTGCGTAAAAAATGATTAGGGTACCATGGTCAAAAAATTATTAGATCTCGAGATATTTTCAAAAAATGTCTTTATTGAGGAAGAAAAAATGGAAGAAAAATTATCGAAAAATAGAAAAATAAAAAGCTTAAAACTGTCCTTGCATTCCATTCCCATTCATACCCTGGCTATACAATGGCCGCTACAAATTCTTTGCTTCGATTTACGTTCAATCTGCAACTTTGTTTAGGTTCTGGGCCAAACTCAAGATCATCGTCATCGTGTCTTAGTGGCAGCCGCGAAGAACATTAAAAATTGGTTCGTGAAAGTCCGTAAGATCAAAGCAATTTATCACACGTTGAATTTGTTCAATTTGGACGTGACGCAGAAATGTTTGATCGCTGAATGCTGGGTTCCGGTACTGGATATAGAAACAATTCAGTTGGCATTGCGCCGTGGCACTGTGAGTGATTCGTAATTCTTTCGACAGATTTGGTAATAACTAGACTGCGGATGTTTATGCATTTATGGGGAATTTTAATCCTCAAAAAACTACAGAATGCACTTAACACTTTACCGACCGGTAGCGGTTGATTAATCGGCTATCGGTCGGTAAGTGTTGGTCGGTAAAAAAGTCGATTAATAGGCTATCGGTCGGTAATGTGTTATAATAATATTATTATTATATTTAAGGGTTGAGACAATCATCTACAAAGCTCCCGTTTCATTAATTCTGTTAATAAAAATATGAATTTGCATAAAGATCCGCAGTCTGGTAATAACATTGTGTTAATTTATTTCTGTCTTTTTCAGGAACGCAGCGGGAGTTCCGTGCCGCCGATTTTGAACCGCATGGAGACGTTCGAAGATCCACCGACTTACAATCGAACGAACAAATTCACCAAAGGTTTCCAGGCTCTTATAGACGCGTATGGCGTTGCCTCTTACAGAGAAATGAATCCAGCCCCCTACACTATAATAACGTTCCCCTTTCTGTTCGCTGTGATGTTTGGTGATACCGGCCACGGACTTATCATGTTTCTCTTTGGCGGATGGATGGTGTTGAAAGAAAAACCACTGGCCGCAAAGAAATCTGACAACGAGATTTGGAACATCTTTTTCGGCGGTCGATATATTATCTTCCTGATGGGTTTATTTTCAATGTACACCGGGTTTATATACAACGATGTGTTCTCGAAGTCGTTGAACATCTTTGGATCGTATTGGAGAATCGATTACAACTATACAGAAATAAGAGGGAACAAGGAACTGCAATTAAATCCCAGCGAGAAGACCGAGTATTTACAGATCCCATATCCGATAGGAATGGATCCTGTCTGGCAGCTGGCAGAAAATAAAATTATCTTTCTGAACTCGTACAAAATGAAGATATCGATCATTTTCGGAGTTGTACACATGCTGTTCGGCGTGGTCGTTGGATTATGGAATCACATGTACTTTAAAAGAAAGCTTAACGTGATTTGCGAATTTATCCCCCAAATTATATTTTTAATGTTCCTATTTCTGTACATGGTACTCCTTATGTTTATTAAATGGATAAAATACGGTCCCGATAGCGATCGTAAGTAATATAATATAATACTTTACGTTTAACGTAAAGATGGCGATGTGATATCGTTTATAATGTTTATTATTATCTGTAGATACGGATCCACAGCACGGTCCTTTCTGTGCACCGTCAGTATTAATTACATTTATTAATATGGTACTCTTCAAACCTGCAACCCCGCTAGGAGACTGCAATCCTTGGATGTACGGCGGGCAAGAAGTATTCCAAAGCCTCCTTGTTGTCATAGCTCTTCTCTGCATACCATGGATGTTATTGGGAAAGCCTTTTATGTTAATGTACAATAGAAAGAAGCAGCACTATCAGGTTAAATTAGATATTTCGTACAAATTTTTTAATTTAGTTTATTCACAATATGTGAACATGTTAATATTTTATGAATAAAGCTACATATTTTCCATGGTTATTAATAAAATGAATGCTAATTTTTACATTTCTGGATTATCAGTTAAATAATCACGGAACAGAGAATGGTGACATAGAAGGCGTTGACTCCATACAACCAAACAATGGCGTACCGCAAGGTGGCTACAAACAAGAAGAAGAAGAAATGAGCGAAGTGTTCATTCATCAGGGCATTCATACTATCGAGTATGTTCTTGGTAGCGTGTCTCATACTGCGTCGTATCTACGTTTATGGGCTTTGTCTCTCGCTCATGCTCGTAAGTTAAAAAGATTTTCTATACGTGTACATTATTTTATTTTTAACGATATAATAACTTCTGTAATATATTTCAATTCGTTTAGAATTATCGGAAGTATTATGGAACATGGTAATGAGAAATGGATTGACACGAGAGGGTTGGTCCGGTGGTATCTTTTTGTGGGCTGTGTTTGCATTTTGGGCTATTTTGACCATCGGTATTCTAGTACTTATGGAAGGATTGTCAGCCTTCTTACACACGCTTCGACTTCATTGGTACGAAATATTTATGTATAATACAAACTATATTATATTCAGATATAAACGTTATGTCAAACCATGTAACATTTTAATTTATATCAAATTAAAACAAAATGTTTCCATAGGGTCGAGTTCCAGAGTAAATTTTATGCTGGACAGGGGTACGGTTTCCAACCATTCTCCTTTGAAATTATTTTGGATGCAGCGCAATCTACTACGGAGGACTAATAATGTTCAGGTAGAGAAAGAAGTATCACTTGAAGTACACTTTATTGGCAAACTTCCACGTGACTTTCTATAGAATAGTATTATTGATATTACGATGACTAGTAGCTACTATGAATTTGTCACCATTGAAAATGTCGTTACGTTTAAATACTGTTGGGTTTTGCAATAAACTGACACATTCGATATAAATGTCCAATGTAAATGTATATTTAGAAGTTAAAGAAACACGTATGCGTACTCACCGGGAGACATATTCGAACTGAACAAAAGAAAAAACAATACAATATACACTGCATCGCGACACCTCCGGACATCGAACGCTGTCGTATCGTTGACGGCCATTATCGATTCTCTAACGAATACATTATATACTATTTTTACGTTTTCGAAAAATGTTTGCAGTATTATCAAGTTCGTTACTGTTCTAAAAGTCAATAAACCACTGTTTTAGTTAGCAATTATATGTTCAAATGTATCTAATGTACCATTATATTATATACTATTTAACAAAAAAAAAAGCATTACAATGGAATATTATTTTGAATGTTGTAACTATCATATTTTCACTGTGTTACGTATTATTTACTTCCGTAATTCGTAAATAATAAAAAATTATAAATTGTAATTAGATATGAAACATATAATAAAAGCAAATTAACGTTAAACGTGGAAATGTGTATTTAATCATAATTATGGTCGTGTACTGCGTGCTATATATTTTAAATTCAAGCACACGGAATAATATGAAACGAAAACATAGACTCGGAACACGATAAAATTCGATTTACATATGGGTACATTAAAAAAAACAAACAAATAACAAAATAATATGAATTTTTGCAACAAATAAACAAATTTTTATAACAAATGTACAGAGTAGGTGTATTTCGTCAAAATATCTATAATGCTTTAAATATTTTTACAAAGAAACTTAAATATCAAGTCGCAATTGATTCGTATCAAATTTTTTATTAATCGACACCTATTATAAAACAGACGCATGGCATGCTGGGAAGACGATACTCAAATAAACACTTCTTAATCTGGAAACTTCCGTGATAAATGATACCGTCATTCACAAATTTGTAACGAAAACAAACTATGATATCCGATATCGTATCCTACGTGAACCATAGCGATTCGAAGAGACTCGAATTACGATAAATGAAAGCGATTTTAAAACACTGCAAAATAAAATGTAAAAACAAACCTAATCTCTTGTTTAAATAATTACCATCGATGTACCGCTGTTCTTCGGTAAGACGATTTTAAAATTCTAGTTTTAAATTCGTGGCAATTTTTCGATCTTCGATGTGCAAAATAAACAGATTTTTCAGCCTCCATGTTTGCAGCACGTTTTGCTAAGCTGTTCTTTAATTTACTAAGTATGTTCTTACTAAATTTGTCAAGTGTATTTAATTAATTCTTCGTAGAATAACTATGTTCTGTACGTTGATATAATATTCTCAAGTTTGTTTATATATATTTTATAATAAAAAAGAAAACACATGCGTTTTTATTCGCGATCGAACCTCAACAACTTCAGACCCATCCTGTACGACGATATCGATACTTTCGTAATTATTATCGCGTATCGTGCCAGTTAGAATAAAAAATTGTGTTGAAAATAAATTACATTTTACGTAATCTTTATCATGATTTAAAAACGATTAAAATTTGAAAATAAGTAGCATTTCTTTTCCCCCATAACTGTACATATTAATTTACAGTACACCGTGGAACTGATGATAGATACAAGGTCGAATTGATACCGAACGATCGTTTTCATATTTTTGAAACGGTGCTGTATATTTGAAAGGAGTGCAAATTGTGTTTTTTAAACGATTTTTTAAATGATCGCGGGAAAAAAAAGTAGAGATAACACGGACTTCTCGTCGTATACAACTTTATTGGTTAACAGTTCGGTTCTGCTTACGAAAATGACTGGCCTATCAGTACTTGTTACTATCAACCCGTTCGCTGGTATTTGTAGGCTCCCACTTCCCCGTAAAATACCGCGAGCCTTTTCATGTTCAGAATTATTCCAGCAGTTGCCACCTCGCTACGGAGCCGCGTGGTTCGTGTCTACTGCTCTGCGATTCTTTTCAATTTGTACTCGCGTAGCTACGATATTAGAACCAACCAAGATTATGGCAGCCAAACGACGTGTTTGTATTATCGGATCCGGAAACTGGTAAGTCGTTAACCAACACCTTGTGTCTACGACGACAGAGAACAGTTGTTTTCCCATCGATTTAGCCGATCGTATTGAAATTTTTGCATTGCCATTGATTTCCACGTGCTGCATATGACGGATGGAACAATCCTGTACTCTTTATTACATTGTTGTTGCTTTCTACGAAGCATATTCATGACCCAGTAGTACTCGTATCAACGAACTCTTTTTTTCAAGAACTAAGTAAATTTGAAGCACTTGTTATGCTCGCCAATGACAAGGTGTAAATCTTTTGCAATTTTTTAATCCGTATGCCAAAACAAATCATAAATAGCTATCTATTATTGATAATATTGTGTAAGTCGTGTGTACAATACAATCGAAAATTTGGATTTTTAAATTATTATTTACCAGTAACTGTGCATGTTTATCTGCGAAAAGTCAATCGAAAGAATCTGCTGTGTAATTAAGTTCTGCAACGTAAACTTGATAAACGTTTCGTTGTTTCTTTAAAAGGCACATACATTTTTACGAATACGTTAAACAATTTGTTAATGTGAATATAATTCTTTATGTATAATTTATAGGGGCTCGGCTATCGCCAAGATAGTTGGAACAAATGCTAGTAAACACAATAGCTTCGAGGATCGCGTCACAATGTACGTGTATGAAGAAATAATCAACGGGAAAAAACTCACCGAGATCATAAATGAGACTCACGAAAATGTAAAGTACCTTCCAGGACACATACTACCAAAAAATGTGGTAAGTAGCTGTTTTGGAATTTTTTGAGATAAATGTACGTCAAATTAGACGGGTTTTTTTCGATTTATTTCGATGTCGAAGGCTGAAATTATAAACAATTTTATAGTAAACACAAAACGCTATTTCTAACTAAACTAAATATTAAATATTATATATAAAACATAGAAATAATAAATTACGTAAATATGTGTTTGAAAAATTTGTTGCAAAGGTATATTAAAGATCTCGTATACTAAAATAATGATTTTCCTTCCTTTCATATTTTTCCACTTAGTATAAGTAAAATGTAAATCGTGAATACGGTTCCCCATATAATTCACAAAGTAGATATATCACGGGCCCCCGGTACTGCACCTATTTTGCTTAACGGTTGCTACGGGCCTGCTTTTCTGTTTAAGTTATGATTGTAAGCATAAATCACGTTTACGTAACTCGCATGCTCACGAGGTAATCGAATATATGTGTAGCACTTACATATGTGATTTGCCTGCGTGTTAAACTCTGTTTGAAAGAGAAAACGAAATAGTTCAGGGAGTTCTTAATCTTTTAAGTTAATAATGTTGCCCTTTGAACTCACAATCAAGATAATCTGTCGTCTCGTATCTCCAGTATTTTGAATAAAATGCTTCACTTTTGTTGAATTACAGATAATTTCTCCTTAGTAACTACCAGATTTAAAGCTTTTGTTTCGTTGTACGAATTTACTATCTAGCAAATGAATGAAACCACTTTCTTTAATTTAACCCCGAATTATTTAAGATCAAGCCCACGTGCATAATATCTGCATACGAAGTTACTTAATTTTCAATATCAATGACTTTCGTAAGCAAGACCTTGACCGCGAGCAAGGCAACTGAGGTTATATCGATTCGCAAAATACGGTCTCTAGATATTTATAGCGAATAGATATATTTCTCTAGGTTCTTAAATTATCCTTTAAACAAATTAAAATGACAGTGCTAGGTTTAAGCTTATTTCTATAATACGTGAATCTTTGAAAAATATTGATAACGTTCGAAAATTCATTGATCGATGACTTTATCAGGAAAATAAAAATAAAATTGATCTCTGGACCTAAAACGATCCAAACGGCGATTGCGCGACCGTAAAAGAAATTACACCATTTTGAAAAAGTATATATTTCGATTTAGAAAACGAAATATCAAATTTGAAGAATTAGTTATAGGATCTTAATTTACATAAAGCAAATTTTGTTTAATTATAATATATTATTGATGTGTAATAATGTTAGATGTCGTTATAACATATAATTTAGTTTCCCATTTATCTTTGAATCTGGTTGTATGTTTTATATTTGTTCTAGTTATCTACAATATCAACTTAGTTAATTAAAAATGTATTAGGTGTATAATTTCTGTTATAAGTTCTTCTTGATCGCTTGATAAGAAACAGATATCAATATCTTTGAAGATTTGTCAATTAATCTTACATAACAAGTTTTCTGCTGTTTGATGGCTGATATAATCTGACAACTTTTTCATTGGATATCTATCAGGTGTTTTATTTCATTTATGGTTTACTAATTTTTATTTCTATTTATTATATTTACTGTTTGATGGATGCCCTTAAAATCTACTCTTATCCATATCTACAAGCTTCCAAGTATTTGTATTCGGTGTTATTCTGTAACTGTAATCACTAAATTTATGAGCCAACTCATTTTTATGAGTATCGCTGTATCATAAATATGTTCAATATGTTTATAAAATTTATATATCAATAGCAATAATATTAGAGACATATAATAAAGATTACTACAGGATATTAGTGCTGTATTTGTTTTATGACCTTTGTATCTGCCTATAATCTGCTGTCAGGATAGTTCTATTTTTTATGCAGCCATAACTAGTACAATAAATTGATTTTTGTGTACACCTTGTAAAATATAAATGTTATGTAGTCATAATTCTTTTAAAAAGAATTTTGTTTTCATTTTATATGAGAAAGAAACTGGTTACAATTTCTACTTAACAAATTTCTCCCCTATTCTCATAATTATTCAAAGATGTAGAAGGTGCTAGTTCCTTTGCATTGTATTTTGTATTAAAAGCATAATTTAATAGAAACAAATTGAAAAGTTTAAAGAATCAGGTAATAGTGTTAAGAGAATAATAATAAGATAAGTATGCGATACAAAATAAATTGTAAATGGATTAATATCAGTTCTTTTCTTTTTTAAATTATGAATCTGAACAATATAGCAAAGAACATAGTAATAAGTAAAGATTAATAAATAGGAGTAATTTATTTGAATGCCTGAGGCCCTTATATCTCAATTATTTATCAAATATAAGTACTTTTCCAGTGTAGTTTCATCAAGGTGATAAGAGATACAGTTTACATAACATGAATTGGCTGTTTTAAAAATAATTCTAAATTACACGGCACATCTGTTGTCCAAATTTGTTCCCGGAAATTATAAAGTAGTTATGAGAAGATTTGATTTTTACATGGACGACTTTGGATATACATCTATTGTATATTATTTATTTGTATTAATAACATAAATGGGCAAATACTTTTGCAAAGAATTAATAGGAATATTTACGAAAATTAATTTGCGCATTCTTATGGTGTTTCAGGTTGCTGTTCCTGATGTAGTAGAGGCTGCTAAAGACGCTGATATTCTTATTTTTGTAGTTCCACATCAATTTATAGATAAGATATGTAGTACTCTACTAGGAAATATTAAACCTACAGCTGTGGGTCTCTCTTTGATAAAGGTAAGATTTTAATATATGGCTATATAATTTTGTGTGTGTATGTGTGTTAAATTAATAATTAATAACATAAATTTTACTAGTGAAACTTGGTTTGTTTTTAAGGGACACATTCTGTGGCCTGTATGCTTTTGTTCTAGGTCTAATAACCTCCGAGTTCTTAGGATCAAATACATTTATTAAATGCGATCATATAATCGTGTCTCGTTCAACTCATTTACATCAAGAAGCAAATTACATCTAGTTGGCCGTATCGTCGCGTGAGAAAGAATTTGCAAGCGATAGCCGCTTAAAAACTCAATTGACAATAGATATACTATATTAATGTTAATTTCGTTCTTCTCGGACCATTACATTTCTTATGGATTATTCCATACTCGACGATATACACGGCCGTTCAAAAGTAAAGCATCCTTTATAGAAATTAAGGTTTTTTCTTATTTTCTCTTTCGTGTTAAAATACTTGCAATGGCGAATAAAAGTTACACATCGTAAATACTTGTTTAAAAAACGCTAAGAGTTTATCAGTCGCTGTTATACAAGGCAACACGAAATATTGAATTCAGCTGAATATATTTATCATTTTAAATCATAATTAATACCTAAATCAATATTTTGAGTTCAATTTCGAACTTTTAAGCGACAGTGTAGATTAATACCAAATTAATAAAGCAGATTGCTTAGACTTTTTTAATGTTTAACATATGGTGAGAAAATGATTTTAATACTATTTTATCGAAAATATGGACTGAACGTAACCTCTTCTTAATGCAAATGGGTTACGTGCATGATTTATTAGACAATCGGAAGCGTTACGAAAGTTTCATTAATGCAAACGTTTGAAGACACAGCCTTGAGTATAGATATTGCAATTAATTATGCTCTTAAACGATTGCTTTACGTCAGTGGTTCTCAACAGGTGTGGCGTGACACACCTGACGTATCGTAACAAAAGCACGTAACATGCTTCGAAAAAACGTGCAAGCAGAAACATTTTATTTACGAAAGAATTACCGTCACTTAAAAATATTTCAGACAATATTCTTTAAAAAAAAAAGGAAATTTCTAACAAAACCAAATATTTCATTAAAGTTTAAAGTTTATGCGTTTTAAAACATACTCTTATATTTAACCATTGTAGCCTTTCAGAGAATAAATATAGTAGTTTATTTCGATCGTAATTATTTGTTTATAATTTTAGTATAATATAAATTACTGGAAAATTTCTTTGCGGCTATAACGTAGTCTCTGCTACTCGAAGAAGCCTCTCTTAAGTATGTCGTGATGTAAAAAAAAAAGGTTGGGAAGCACTGTTCAACGTTATCGAGCGTTTCCGGTACATGGTGTGTTGTTCTTCGTATATCTCGTTCTCTAAACTATCCCACAGAAAGAAATCGACATCTGTCATATTTAGTGATTCGGAGAGGTACAACAGTGTATTGTTTTCCCACCCTATATGGTGTTCAGAGAAAATATAACACTGAACCCTTCCGCTATTGACGCGTTAAATTTAGCACGTTGTATTTTATATAGTATTTTACAGCAGAGTGAAAAGCAATTTTCTTCGTTATATTACAATTTATATACAATTGCATTCTGTTTTTAAAGACTTGCTTAATAATTTTTCATTTCACTCAGGTCCCCCATTGTATAATGCTTCATGAAATTGTAATATTTATAGGACCTTTGGAAGGCCAAAGGTACATAAACATTTTGTTATAAATAAACTAATTCTCCAAGGTTTTGTCATGGAAAATTTTGTATTGTTTTCTATACAGGGTGTTCGACCAACCGTGGGAAAAATTTTAATGAGGAATTCTAGAAGCCAAAATAAGACGAAAATCAAGAATACCAATTTGTTGATGGAGGCTTCGTTAAAAAGTTATTAACAATTAAATTCAAAAATTTCAAATCGTTCTGGAAAAATTATTTTCGATTGCGGGGGACAATTACAATCATTTTTGGTGAACAGACATACCCCCGAAATCCTACTCATTTTCTAGAAAAAAATTCAAGAAGGTATGAAATTCGATAAAATTAAAAAATTTCAAATCTTTTTGGAAAAATTATTTTCGATTGCGGGGGTCAATTACAATCATTTTCGGTGAACAGACATACCCCCGAAATCCTACGCACTTTCGAGAAAAAAAATCAGTACTGGCGGAACTTTAAACGTTAATAACATTTTAACAAAGCCACCATCAATAAATTGGTATTCTTGATTTTCGTCTTATTTTGGCCTCTGGAATCCCAAATTAAAATTTTTCCCGGGGTTGGCCGAACACCCTGTATAATTTTATAAAAATTAAATAACTTTATTTTCAAAAATTTGTTGTATAACCAACACGACCATACAAACGCCACTCAGTCACATCACAAACATTACCCATCCAATCATCCTTATCACGATTTCTAATCCTTACTCTCACAGAGAAATGTATTGGCTCAAAAAAGAATGAGAGTCGAAAATTTAAAGAGATCCGAAATCTTGACTGAGGAATTCGTGAATTATAAAACCTTTGTATATGGTTTGTATGGTTCGAATAAGCCTTCCTTGTTCAATACAAATGTAGTCTACAAAAGAATGCAATTAAATAAATTATTCGGTTCGTCAGTGCACAATAATAGGTCTTCACATCTAGAGTAACACTAGACCAAGACGTGGCTCGACAGATCGGTTTTAAAGAGAAGATTGTCGTCATCAATTATCCACCGCGACGGCTAATATGTACAGAAGCGCTTTTTGCGTAATACACGGTTACAACTGCCTGCATTAACCGTGCACGCGTATTTTGCACGAATAGCAGAAAGTTAGAACGAAACAGACGTTAAACGAAGTTTCGCTATGGCCTTTCGATCATTTACTCACAATGTGCTAAATTTAGCGCTACCCATAACTGCCAAACGAGCCAACGTAGGAACTTGAAACGAAGGTTAACAAATTTGAAATAATTTATCATGCTCGTATACAAAAATTTAAATAAATATCAATCTCAAAAGGGTTCACGTGATAGGAATCCTGTGGTCAATGTACAGAGTTGTCGTTCGTCTAATAACCTTGAATGACCTGTGCATTATAAACGGTTGGAGCCGCCATTGTATAAGTCACGCGCGTGGCTGAGAAATAGACTGTGTATCCGTTAAAAGATACAATCGAGATAACCTTGAAATCTCTGCAGAGTCTTCGCCCGAAACAAATTTACGTAACGCCCTCTCTGTAACAACACAAATAGCATTTTAGAACGAATTTAAATACTTAGAAAATACAAAATTTTGAACACGCTTCCTGACAAAATTTCGCCCAGTCTAGTTCTATGTATTTAATATGTATCATACGTGTACGAGTTAAATCGATGACCTGAATTCGTGCTGCCCCCTTGTGAGATAAATACGATGCCTCTGAAAAGCTTCGAGTGCCATATCGTTTCGTGCTTCCAATTAAAATTTCTAAACGAAAATAACTCACTCGTTGCTTGACTATTTATTTAAACAATTTAGAAACTTTTCTACAATGCAAGAATGGCGTAATTTCAATCGTCACTTGTTGACGCAAAAATTTAAAACACTATAATGACTCATGCTACATTTGCAGAGAGGCAAATGACTTCGTAATTCGTATTTATGACATACAGCAGCTAGTCGATAATCGATTTCGAATCAGAATGAGCGCTTGAATGGAGTTGAAATAGTTTCGATTTAAAAAAATGATTCTCCGTTAATAATAAGAAATTCGAGTTTTCTTCGAATAACAAATTCTAAAACGATGCATCATTTTTTCCATTATTTGGCAGATATTTTCATTAGTGATATTTCTGATAAATACAAACGCAATTATAAATTATTTAAAATATTTTTTGTTTTCTATTATAGAGTAATGTAAATTTAAATAATACAAGTATTTTAACTGTTTTCTGTTCTCACAGGGATTCGATAAAAAGGAAGGAGGTGGTATTGAACTTATTTCCCATATCATTTCAAAAAAGCTTCATATTCCTATGTCGGTTCTTATGGGAGCAAACTTGGCATCCGAGGTAGCTGAGGAGATGTTTTGCGAAACAACTATTGGTAATATATAATCAGTTTGTGGAATTAAATATATGATTCTAGAGGCCAAAATAAGACGAAAATCAAGAATACCAATTTGTTGATGGAGGCTTCGTTAAAAAGTTATTAACAATTAAATTAAAAAATTTCAAATCGTTCTGGAAAAATTATTTTCGGTCGCGGAGGTCAATTATAATCATTTTTGGTCATTACACATACCCCCGAATTCCTACTAACTTTCTAGAAAAAAATTCGAGGATGTGTGACATTTTTTGACGGGAAAAAAAAATTTCGAATCGTTTTGAAAAGATTATTTCCGGTTGCGGAGGTCAATTATAATCATTTTTGGTCATTACACATACCCCCGAAATCCTACTAACTTACTAGAAAAAAATTCGAGAATGTGTGAAATTTTCGACGGAAAAAAAAATTTCGAATCGTTTTGGAAAAATTATTTTCGGCTGCGGGGGTCAATTACAATTATTTTTGGTTGTTACACATACCCCCGAATTCCTACCCATTTTCTAGAAAAAAATTCGAGAAAGTGCGAAATATTTTGACGGAAAAAAAAAATTCCAAATTGTTTTGAAAAAATTATTTTCGGTTGCGGAGGTCAATTATAATCATTTTTGGTCATTACACATACCCCCGAAATCCTACTAACTTTCTAGAAAAAAATTCGAGAATGTGTGAAATTTTCGACGGAAAAAAAAATTTCGAATCGTTTTGAAAAGATTATTTCCGGTTGCGGAGGTCAATTATAATCATTTTTGGTCATTACACATACCCCCGAAATCCTACTAACTTACTAGAAAAAAATTCGAGAATGTGTGAAATTTTCGACGGAAAAAAAAATTTCGAATCGTTTTGGAAAAATTATTTTCGGCTGCGGGGGTTAATTACAATCATTTTTTTTGAATAGACATACCCCCGAAATCTTGCGCATTTTCGAGAAAAAAATTCAGTACAAACGGAACTTTAAACATTAATAAGTTTTTAACGAAGCTTCTATCAACAAATTGGTATTCTTGATTTTCGTCTTATTTTGGCCTCTAGAATCCCCCATTAAAATTCCCCCCAGGTATATTGTTATACATAACAGCTCGATAAATCGAAATTTTCGTTTCTAAGTACTACATCACGGTAATTTAATTTCCAGGTTGCAAAGACAAAGCTATGGCTCCAGTACTGAGAGACCTGATTCAAACATCATACTTTAGAGCTGTAGTCGTCGAGGATGTTGATTCTGTTGAATGTTGTGGAGCACTAAAGGTAACCATATTTGCAATGCTTTCTCATATCAAATATACATAAGATGAAACTTGCAAATGAAATAGGAAACAGCAAAGTGACAGTTTTCTCTAAAAATGCAGCATCTATTTGCGTAAAGCTAATTTCAATAATTTTTAAAAAATATTTATCTGTTTTTAATTTTGAACAGAACATAGTAGCTTGTGGCGCTGGTTTCGTTGATGGTCTTGGATTAGGCGACAATACAAAAGCTGCGGTGATCAGATTAGGTCTTATGGAAATGATTAAATTCGTGGACGTATTTTTCCCTGGTGGAAAACTCGATACCTTTTTTGAAAGTTGTGGCGTAGCGGATCTTATTACTACATGTTACGGTGGCCGTAATCGCAAAGTTTCAGAAGCATTTGTAAAAACTGGCAAGGTTCGTTTTTTTAATATCAATATACAGAAATAATTATAAATCGTTATTTAAAACACGTTTTTTCTTTAAATTGTTTATTAATAAAAATTGCTTCGTTCGTAGACAATCGTAGAATTGGAAAAGGAAATGCTGAATGGACAGAAATTACAAGGTCCTTTCACTGCCGAAGAGGTAAATTATATGTTGAAAGCAAGAAATATGGAAAACAGATTCCCACTTTTCACAGCTATACATCGGATTTGCATTGGTGAGATAAAGGCTACGGAGCTAATTGAATACATACGCAACCATCCGGAACACATGTAAGCTCAATTGTCACCACCGCACGGTGGATTAGTTTAAATTCCTGACCTTTATCCAAAATTGATGTAGTATCATAGGTATTTTGTTTGACGCATTGTACAAATTTATTTCTGAAATCATTCTCGATATATTTTTCTGCTATTACATGAAAATACAGGAATTCAGCAAAGAACAGCATGTAAATATGTAATATTTATTGAGAACGATCGGACATGTTTATTTTTATACAAAACACTGAGATTTAAATTTCAGTTTGTTGAAAAATTGCTATTTTAATAATATAAATTTTTATCTTGTCCGTATCTTGCCGCGACAAAACTATTTTGTTTAACCATGGTCCTGATTGCACTGATGTTGCTGTTCCATTATTTTAATATACGTATATGAAAAAGATCGATAGAATTGTACAAAGTACCTAATACTGACAGTGATATGTATCATATGTATAAACATGTACATATATGTAAAAAGTTAATCATTGTGCACACCTCGGTAAAAATAGCTATATATTTTTTCTAACGAACCTATTCTTGACTTATTTTAGTCAATAAAATATTTTATGTACGCCTAAAGTGATTTTAATCGCTCGCTAAAACAAGTACCAAACACGTTTCATTATGCTCGGAAAAGAATGAAGCACATTTTTATCATCATACGAATCATCTCGTTTTCGTTGAAACGACAACTTATGTTCGAGAAAAAAATTTATGTAAAGGAATGTATTTGAATGTGTTATGCTCCGTTTACAGTTATCATAAAATCATTTTAAAATTAACCAGATGCAAAAAATTTTATTTCATTCATAAATATAATACAGGTGTTTACAATTAGATGCTTTATAGGAGTGTTTAAAATTTTCAAATAAACTACGAACATTTTGAAAATAATTTTCATCAGACGCACAGATGATTATACGTATATCACATTTAATTACTATAACCTAACAAATATCACATGACTTCCGTCGCGTATTTTACTAAACAATTTACGAAGGGCGATATCATTGAATTAAAAGAAGAAGAAATAGAAGAAGAGAAAAGATGGTATAGAAAATAATTTTAAGGACCATGGTGATTAATGAATTTCATGAGAAATATTTTTAATAACATTAGTAAAATTGTTGCTTACGTTCGCCTGTTTTAACATCATTCGTTCGATTATCTATTTTGTGCTTTTAATTACGAAGCGTACTTTTATCAAACGTAGTTATAATGCGTACAATGAAAATCTTCTATGGACTCTTAATAACACCAGAAAATTTTTCTTTATTATATAAAATATAGATAGAATATATAGATGTTACCAAATTGTTTGTATAATAAATTGTTAGGTGATATGTAAAAAGATATTTGCGCTACTATATATTTTATTGAAAATTTTATCAAAATTGTTATATAAAGTACGAGGATCCTGTGAACAAACCTGTATTACCGATTTTATCGAATTATTAGGTTGTTGTTAATTGTTACATTATAGAATCGAAGCTACTATAAATACTGTAATATGAAAATTAAAAATATATGACTATTATTTATTTATTTAAAAACCTTCGTTTAGTTTAGAGTCACATTTTGCCCTCTTTCCATAACCAGCACCGGCGCTCGTAAACAAAATTTTAATATCATCTTTATCGGAACATCGCGTTGCGTTTAAAAAAAAATCATAATAAATAAACTATATGCTACTCGATGTGTACTTCGAATAGCATTGAACGTGTTTTAGGGTGTTAAAGTACGTGTTGTTTAAAAGTAGTGTTTGCTGCGATTAGAAGGGATTTATCTATTTTTAATTATATTCGCTTCGTATCTAGGAACGATGACGTTAACGCATCAATGCTGCAACTACCTGCACCGAGATGCCATCTGTGAAGATTATTTTGGGGGACGAGAAACGAAGATGCTTCTGGTATTACACACACTTAAGAAAATCAGTATGAATTCATAGATTATTTCAGGCATGTAACGCACGTTCAACATGCTGAATAACAATGACCCGATGCAATATAGCGATAACAAACGCGGTAAATATAAATTACCGAAAACTGTGCTAATATTTTGGCGATTGCATTTAAATGCAAACCACTATCATTTTGTACGTCGATGTTTGACCGAAATTGTGATCTATTTGTATTACGTCAAGGTTATTTCTATATACACGATTATGTTTATTTTTTAATTTTATACATGTATTCTCTTTTTTTATTCTTTTTTTTAATAAATTTGTTTATCGATACGTATCGCATTACGAGAATTATTTACTGTCTCTACGTTAACACGCTCGACATTGAAACGTCGGTCCACTATACCAATAAATGTATGCACTGATTTTCCTCGAGATTTTATGTTTACGATCGATCTGTTGCATTCGAAACATATACAATACGTGAAGCGTATTATCAAACTATTGCTAATTTTAACATTCAATCTGGCCAGAGTTTGCGATTGCGTTCAGGTTGGCCTTGGTCCACCGCACTATACGCCAACCGACAGAAAATAATTTGCAACCGTTTCTAAGGTCAAAGAAGGCTGAAGTTAGTTTGTAAGTTAATCGGTCAGTCAGTCAATCGTACATCGGCGCCCGAAAATAAGCGGATTTTTAACACTAACCTACGCAGAGTGTCTCACGCCCTTACGGATTTGTGACATTTAATTTGGTGGTATCGTAAAAACTGTAAAATGGCTACGGAGGCAAAGAAGAGAGTGTGCATTGTTGGAAGTGGCAACTGGTACGTACATATATTTTTTTTATACAAATTACTTTATTAATTAAAATTTCCTGTTAGCTGAAACTAGAGTGTATAGTTTCAAGGAAATATATTACTATCTTTAAATAACATTTCAAGCGATTACACGTCTTTTTTATCTAAATACAACTTTGTTTATTTTTCCCCCTATCGCTTTGTATGATTATGAATGGTGGTTACGTAATACAGCTGCATGCCAGGGATCGCGTCTTAAGTATATTATACAAAGTGGGTCGTTTGGACGGGAACGCCTGAATATCTTCATGGATATTTAAAGCGGTTGTTCGACGCACGGTTAAACTGCCCATGGAAACAGAGGTAGTCTTACGAACAAAATATCCTCGACGTCATTATTGCAAAGATCAAGGTCACCGATATTTTTTCTTCCATGTTCATTGAGAAAAGAAAAAATTCTTTAATGCTTTAAATTCTTCGTAAAAAAGTACCATTCTCAAGTCAATCACAAAATAAATTTTATTTTAAAGCTTCAACAGGTGTTCAAAATTGATCAAAAGTACCAGTTTCCTACTTCCGTAACTGATGCGTGCATCAAAGTCTTTGCTTAATATCCGTTGATGTTATAGATCTTTCACGGTAAATAATATTTTATCGTTTCTTCCGAGAATAAAAGTCGGAAGAAATAAAATTCAAGAAAGTAAATGGACCACACCACGATTGCTTGTCGTACGATCAAACGTCACATATAACATTTATACACAATACTGCTCTTGCATAATATTTAGTGGAATATCGTTCGAAAATTCAGAGTATTTATTTCGTGACTTTTCTTTGAACAAAATATAACTTTAAAATATTTTGAGACTAGTTCACATCTTTCTGCACAATTAACCCGCGTCCACGAACAACAGAGGCAATTAGATGTTGCCTTTAAGAGGGTCAGACTACGTATGTATACAGAGTGTAATATGGAAAACTACGCTGGGATATCGCAATTGCCTTTGCACTTTAAAATAAAATAACAAAAACAAATGTTGTTTCGCCAGAGGGGAAATGTACTCGTGAAGAAATCATTTCTCTCAAGGTTATCGTATCAGAGCTTTCGAAGTTATCGCGATATACATTCTGATTCGGTTCATTGAATTTTTTTACGTTTTGAGATATCCTGACTCGAGAAATACAAAAACACAACAAAACTGAGATATCGACATTTGTTTCGTTTTGTATCTCGAGACTGGTTTATTAGATAGTCCTAGAATTTGTCTATTAAAAACCACAAAATTGGATACATTCTAAACTGCTTCTGAAGAAGTTCCTCAACAATACTGCCAGTGTTATTTAAATGAAGCTGATGGCTTCAGTCATTAAGTAAAATAGAGGTTACAGAAACAAATTCACATTTCACTCACGTTTTTCTGTTACACGTTACTAAATCTAACCCAACGAAACTTGCTTCGTGTCGTCCTTCCACGAGAAGAAGGCAAAGCGTGTTTACATCCCCACTCTTGCTACAGCCCGCTGATTGGCTGTCACCGATCTGCATCACAGTTTTCGACCAATACCTATGAGTCGGCGGACTGCAGGAGTGGGGATGTAAACACGTTGTGTCTTCTTCTCGTGGAAGAGACGATACTTACGCGATTAGAATTTAACCGACTCTGACTTTAAAGTGTCTCGGATGTTGGTGGCGAGCCAACAATGTTTGACGAAGACTATTTGCTGACAAATTTATGAAGCAGAACAATTTTGTCTGTTTTCCAAATTCAGGAAAAAATTATGAATAACAATTTATCAGAAATGGAGAAAAGGAAAAAACCTACTGATCAATTATGGGCGATTATTTTGAAAAATGAAAAATTTCCTATATGTTATAATAATCAAATCATCTACTCTCCCCCTTCCCTGAAATAAAAATGAAAAATTCATTTATACAGTAGCCCTTGCCCCAAACTTCGCACGTTTGAATATCGGTTTAAAAAATTCGTTAACGAATTCTAATGTATGCATAATTTACAAATGGAACGTAAATGCAAGGTGGTTTAGGTCGTGTTAGAACGAGATTCATCATTAATCTATTTTAAAAGACACTTGATATTCGCTTATACAACTTTTGTGTTATAGGGGGTCGGCCATTGCAAAAATTGTGGGCGCCAATGTCGTCAAGTACAACAACAAATTTGAGACACGCGTAACGATGTATGTCTATGAAGAAATAGTGAATAGCCAAAAACTGACTGACATTATAAATCAATTGCACGAAAACGTGAAATACCTTCCGGGCCATAAGATTCCAGAGAATGTTGTAAGTTTTTTTTTCACAGAGTGCCACCCCTGAGAAAAATTTTAATGGGTGATTCTGGAGGCCAAAATAAGACGAAAACCAAGAATGCCAATTTGTTGATTGAGGCTTCGTTAAAAAGTTATTAACGTTTAAAATTCCGCCTGTAGAACGGCGATCTGCGTACAGCTGCGTGCGTGGTTCTCACTCAGAGTGAGAATCTCCACTTACTGACTCATCGGCAGTCTTACGGTTTTCTAAGTAGAACCACTATCGTGCGCGCGCAACTGTTCGCAGATCGCAGTTCTACAGGCGGAACTTTAAACGTTAATAACTTTTTAACGAAGTCTCAATCAACAAATTGACATTCTTGATTTTCGTCTTATTTTGACCTCCAGAATCTCCCATTAAAATTTTTCTAAACAAAGTGTGATTTGTATCGAAGTTTGTGGGTATTGTAAAATTATTAATTTACTTTAATGTGCAATTTTCAGGTTGCCGTTCCAGATGTCGTCGAAGCCGCCAAAGACGCGGACATTCTTATATTTGTAATACCGCATCAATTCATAAGAACACTGTGCGCAACGTTGCTCGACAAAATTAAACCAACGGCCGTTGGTTTATCATTAATTAAGGTACTTGATCCTGAATCAAATTTTATTTAAAGAAATTCAAAATATCGTGTTGTGATCAAATATTTCTAACTTTCTATCAAGGGTTTCGATCGAGGAGATGGAACAAACATCGAATTGATCTCAAAGATCATTGAAAAACATCTAAGAATTCAATGTTACGTTTTAATGGGAGCAAATTTAGCTAACGAAGTTGCTGAAGAAAAATTCTGCGAGACTACTATTGGTAATTAATATTAAATAATTTCGATAAAAAGAAAATCACGTATGGTACAGTAATTCTCGGATAAGTGACCACTGAATTGAATCTCCTAGTGCACTTATCCGATCAGAGTAACGTTTTTATTCCTGGAATCATTATTTCATTCCAAAATTATTTTCTAAATTATTCTAATTATTCGAATTATTCTAAAATTATTTTATTCCATAATTGTTAATTATTACAGGTTGTCGGGATAAACGACTAGCGCCAATAATGAGAGATCTCATTCAAACTCCCAACTTTAGAGTGGTTGTTACTGACGACTGTGAAGCAGTCGAAGTATGCGGTGCCTTGAAGGTAAATTAAATAGAAGTATCATAACTCGTATAAATTTTTGAATAATTCTATTATATACTAACTATAAAATTTATATTTCAGAACATTGTAGCATGTGCTGCTGGTTTCGTAGATGGTTTAGGATTAGGGGACAATACAAAAGCAGCCGTCATCAGATTAGGACTAATGGAGATGGTTAAGTTTGTAGATACCTTTTACAGTGGCTCGAAACTTTCAACGTTCTTTGAAAGTTGCGGTGTAGCCGATCTGATAACTACTTGCTATGGAGGAAGAAATCGCAGAGTCTGCGAGCAATACGTAAAAAGTGGCAAAGTACGAATCCCATTGCTTCCTTTATACATTCACCTTACAGTTTTAACACTTTACCGACCGGTAGCGGTTGATTAATCGGCTATCGGTCGGTAAGCGGTGGTCGGTAAAAAAGTTGATTAATCGGCTATCGGTCGGTAAGCGTTGGTCGGTAAAAAAGTCGATTAATAGGCTATCGGTCGGTAATGTGTTAACAAATTTAATGAACTTAAAATATTTTCATATTTTTCTCATAGACCATTAGACAACTCGAGGAGGAATTATTAGGTGGCCAGAAATTGCAAGGGCCAGCCACAGCTGATGAAGTTCATGGAATGTTAAAGGGTCGCAACTTAACGGAGAAATTTCCTTTGTTCACGGCAGTGCATCGCATCTGTACTGATCAAATAAGACCAGCAGATTTACTTGACCAAATTCGTAATCATCCTGAACATGTGTTAGTAGATAATTGCCTTTATTATTATTTATATTCGCTAACTAACATGAACCAACATCACCTTAGGTTTGCACCAAGAACATTACACATATACTGATCATTATCCCTATGCTTCAAATTATAACAACGAGCAAAAAAATCCCGCATATATCCGGATAAAATATCCTGGAAACAATTCACTAATACCTCCATCTATGTCGACATAATAACCTAAACAAAGAAAGTAAGTTAACCCCTAAATTTTCCATTTGCAAATAAAAATTTAACTCTTCCGCGAAACGAACCTATTTTTATTTCTAATCCACAATTATATTAAAATGTTATTTATATATATTTTTAGGATGAGGTTGGAAGGCGTTCAAGAAACATAGTTGAATGTTGAAGAGTGCTTAATATGAAACTATTTTCATATTGCTGTCCACCTTAGAAATACTGTACATATTTTGTTAGACGCAAACTACAAATAAAACCAGCTGAATTGACATTACTGCCCTTAAATGAGCATGTGACAATTTATAATTAGTTTTAATTACAATGTAATGATTCTATCTGACCCATATAGATGTGTAACTGTACTATTAAATATGTAATAAAATTTGACTCTCACATCGACTTATGATTTTTGGTAAACTGTTCAGTTAAAAATTCAAAACATTAAATCAATCTTTAATCATCATCAACAATTCAAAATAACTATTAAGCATAGGAAACATGCATAACATTAATTATACAAACACTATATGTTTAATAATTGTATGTTATTTTATTTGATTGTATATACATATATATCTATTAATTTTATTTAACAATTTAATAATTAAATAAAATTAATTCATATCGATCTATTTTATTTATTTTCCCCTAATATTCTAACGATACTCTAACGCCTCGTAAAATTAAGTTATTATTAATTTTAACATTTAATTACTGTTTTGTGGTCTATTTTTCGGTGGAGGCCTTTTTAAATCCTGAGTTGTATCAGAATCCTCAAAGGGTATATTATCCAATAGTTTAGTATCGGGCGTAATGCGAAGCGCTAAAACATTACACATTACACACGGTAATTAAACTATGCATTGTACAACTAGTTCTACTTTTAAAAATATTACCAAAATTTCCAGGTTTTGTTTCAACTGCTTGAACTACGGTTGTCCGCACTTCATGTTCTACTTCTTGCGCGAATTTGTTCAACTGAAATAACATGAATATTATGGTAGTTCAGTACGAATGCATAGCTTAACAAGTTAAAAGAGATCTTCAAGAAAATGAAACAAATCAAAAATGCAACTTAATACATGTTTTAAAACTTGCCAAGCATTGCAAATTAAGCAATTTTATATTGCATTGCAAGTTTCCGTTTACATTTTTTTATCCATATTGCTATTATCGTATAAAACGGGATAATTTTTACGCTGTATCAATTTCGATCAATTTTCATTTGGCCAATTTTAACGTATCCTAATTTTACCAAATTTGTCCGTACCGGGGACAAATCAACTTAAAATTTCGTTTTTTTTCAATTTTTTGGAATACGAAATAATAAATTCGAATTTTGGTCAAAATAGACCCAAAATCCGCCATTCAATAACTAACATGGTCTCCTATCCCCCTCCCCTTTTTTCCTAACAGATATTTTCATTGATTTCTGATAAAAAATATTGTAATACTTTATTTGGACCACATGGTATATTTTCAATAATGAAAATACATATGTTATATTCTAACCAAAATTCCATATTTGTGTTACCAACATTAATTTAATTTATGGTCAAATATCACATACATACTATATATAACTTATTATGAAAAATTTAATGTCTTCAGGACAGTTAATAACTGCATATTTTTGATATATAATAAAACATTAATTAATGATGTCATTGACATTTAGGATTGCTCATGTTCTTCCAAACTCTAAATATTGTACTATAAAATACAAGACACTTCTAGATAGATCATTATTAGAATTGCATACTGTTAAATAATAAAATGATATTGGATTATATTTTGCAATAAAACTATTAGCTGAATTTTTACCTCTTCAATAGCAGCTGTGTTTGTAACATTTTTATATTTTTTGTACTCCTCATTTATGCTGTTCCTCGTTACTAAATGACATTTATTAAGATATTAATGTTTTATTTCAACAATTGTTATCTTTAATTTACCTTTTAATGCGTGCTCATCGCCTCTGAAAATGTTCATTCGTGTTCGATGTAGTTTCTTAAACATGTGTAATACCTAAGAAATACAATTTGTAAAAAAAAAAATAAATACACAGACAAAACATGCAGTGATTAATGTTAAAATTAATTTTCGCGATGATCAGTAGACGAAATTGCTCGTATAAAGAACAAAGATTTCAATAATTTACAAATTACTAATTTTTTGTCACTGATTTTGCGCTGCTTAACGTTTGTATAAAACTAACCTAAGAAAAGCCTCAAATTTTATTACAAAAATGCTATGTGCTTTAAGATTATAATTTTACTGGTATACATGTCGATTGAACAAAAGCTTAACAAGTGTATATACGTAAATAATAAAAATATACTATAAAATAACAATATTTTCGAATATAGTATCATATTTACCTCTCGTCGAAGGTTATCGCCCATTTCTATTTTTAAAGATATTCTTGAGAAACGTGAGACGATTTTAACTCATACAACATTAAATGTAATTGCAAACAAATACTCTAATCTAGAAGAAAATAAAGTATTCCTACTAAAATTTGGTAATTGCACCTAGTATTAAAACCTATGCATTCCTACTCATGACCCAAGGGCTCTTATAGAAAAGTCGTAATTGTATGCATACATACACAACAAACGGAAAATGGAAATGGAAATAGATTTACCAAAAAATTATATTCTATACCATGTATTATATTACTACCTATTTGTATTAAGTTTTATCTATAATTGTTATTTTATAAAATGTTATTTCTGTAGGTACTTAGTTATTTTTACAACATCGAGTGTACATACATACATCGTGCAGTAATAATATGGGATATGATTGATTCTAAAAATTCATTGACAGAGAATAAAATGTATGTTAAGTGTTGTGTGTACTTGATACCATTTCTATAGTGTTTTGTAAGAGACGTAAGTTTTGGAGTTTGTCCCATAGGGTTACATGAAGGCGCCATCATGCTAAGAATTTTCCTCTCATGGAAAAACTAAGGGAAAATGCGAAATAACGGCTTTTATGTATTCAGAGCTGTACGCAAACCGTTCTTAAAAATGCCTTCTTCTAGGGAGTTTTTAAATGCTCTACTGATATAGCAATGTTGTATGGAAGGTGAAGAGAGATAGGATAAAAAAGAATTTTTTAATTTTAAAGAATTATTATATATGTTAGCATTTTTATAAAACAGTTTTAATCACCATTCGCTAACAAACCACCATAAGACTCCAAAACTTTCGGGAAACGAACCCAATTCGCGATACTTGTTTACCATGACTAGTAATAAAAATAAAGAATTTTGAAAGCATTAAATCGGTTATGAAACACTTTGACAGGGACTGTTTGTAAAACGCTTGTAGAACATTTGTAGGATTTTATAAGGATTCGTTAAGAGACCCCATAGGAAAATTTACTTAGCATTAGAAATTCTCTCCATGACGATCTAACGTTTTGGAAGAGTAAGTCAGCCATTTTATACCATTCGTAAACACGATGAAAATATAGCTTTATCTATTCAATAATATTAATAGTCTCATTAAAAAAAAACTCTTTTTTTAAATAATTGAAACGTCATCAGATGACCTGGATACGTGTTTTCTCTTAAAAAAATTTTGTTGACATTTTTTTTAAGTACAATGCATTCCTTATAGGTCGGAGAATAAAAATGAAAAATATCTGGTTGGCTACGTGCTGAACACGCATCGTGAAAATATGAATCGTGAGTATCTGATGTATTTATTCTTTCCAAACGTAAACAAGACGGCTGTCAAAGTTACTTAAGTATTGTATGTATCGATGATCCATATGCTTTGTTGACAATTGAGTCGGACTTCAGCTATGTCAATTACATAGTATGAAATTATGAATCGATTGCCCCTACTACTCCACTAGATGGAATACAAATTACCATAGTGTAATTTGTGACTTCTACGCTTCATCTGACGTTACTACTAACAGAAATCGCGGCCGCTTTTTGTTCGCTGCAATTCAAAAATTCACAACTAATACTGTGGCTTCTGGGACCTCTATTAATGGTTTTTACTTTATAAACGAAAAAGCTTGGAAATTCAGATGTACATAGAAGTGTCTCTTGTAACTCCTTATAATAAATGAAATAAATTATATAGAAAAAGAAATAAATAATTATTTCATAATATATATATCTTACAATATCCTGTTCAACTTTGAATATAATTTACACTAGAGATACACAGTAATCAAAGTGACTGTACAATGCAAGCACTTCTATATAAACTTTACCATTCATAAATATGAAGAAGTAAGTTATAGATAAATATTTTTTTCACCTCGTATCTCACTATAATGGAATTGTATATTTACATATACAACGCTGTAACACAAGACTCAACTGATTCTATAATTATGGACATTTTCACAGACAATGGCCAAGTCAGAAAATATCAAAGAACAAATTGCAGTTGACAGAGAAAATGTTCTCGTACGTATAAGTACCTTTACCAGATATAAAATTGTAAATATCACTAATGGCCCCATATATATCACATTTAATTTTTTAATAAACCTAATCTTTTTGCATTGTGCGTATAATATAAATTCCCAAAGCTTTGCTTCACATTTTGTGTTAACACAATTATTATTTATCGTTTATACTGATAATTCGACTATTACGTGCAGTGTAGTGATGGTATGAAAGAATACCTTGAGCCTAGATTCGAGTGTCCTATTTGTTTAACTTGGCTACGTGATCCAGTTTTAACATCTTGTGGTCATAAATTCTGTTCGCAATGTATATACACTTGGCTTCAGTAAGTTATATTTCATATTTAAAATTAACAAATATATATAATCTGTTGTATGTATGATTTATTTTTATTGCATGATTTTTATTTATAGAAAGGAAGGTGCTTGTTGTCCAGTTGATAGTAAACCACTAAAATCTGAAAGTGATTTATTTAGAGATTTGTATACAAGCAGAGAGATATCGCAACAACGTACACCTTGCCCTTACAAACAATTTGGTTGTAACATTAAGTTATCTCCAGTGGATATGGATACACATATAAATCAATGCATACATAAAAGAAGTCTCACAGATTCTCAAAATATTTATTGCCATTTTAAAAAAATCGGCTGTATAGAAACTTTTTGCACGGAAGAAGATTTACATAAGCATTTAGAAACAAATACAAATCTTCATTTAACTGTCAGTTCTTTTCTTTCAATGAATTTGCATTTAATTATAGTATGAGAAAATTATTATTTATCTATTTTGTAGATGGTTTTAAAGACATTACCACAACTATCTGTTATGCAAACTCATGCTAATGCAGTAGCTGCTGAATCTAAATTGTGGGACCCCCCACCAAAAAGTGCAACATCTTTAGAAAATAATGAATCATTGTTAGAATGGCAGCATTTGTTAAAGTAAATTTTCCAATTTACATTTATCAAATAAAACATTTGCGTAAAATGTTTTAAACTGTATGCTTTTTAGGAATCTGTATGAAAGAATAGTGGTATTGGAACAGCAAAACAGAGAACTGTCCATAACCGTTTCTAACCAAAAAACGCAGCTTACAACTTTGCAGACATCTCAGAGATTTAATCAAGAAGAAATGTTTTTGCGCAATTGTAATGGCGTTTATATTTGGAGGCTACATTCTTTTCGTGAAAAGCTTGAAAGTATGATCAATGATCCATTAAAAATGTTTTATAGCCCTGGTTTTTATACTAGTCCTTTTGGTTATAAGATCTGTGCCAGAATTAATGTATCGCCTAAAGATTCTGAGTTTATATCATTGCTTCTCCACATAATGAAATCAGAAAATGATGATGGTTTAGATTGGCCGTTTAATGGTACAATGTACTTTATTTTGGTACATCCGCATGATTGGGAAAAAGATATACGAGAAATAACTTCGTCGATACCGGGTTTTGAAGCGTTTAGGAAACCAATATGTGAATTAAATAAACGTAGTTTCGGTTACACAGAATTCGTACGAATACGAGATTTATCAAATTTTTTGCAAAATGATTGTTTGATTTTCAGAATAGAAGTTCGTGTTCAAGATCGATTTCAAATATCAGTATAATGTAACAATGTTAATTATATTATGAAATCAATATAACAGTTCTATTTATATGTAAAACGTAAATTGAAAATTATTTTCAAACTAAGAGTAAAGTTATTTAAAAAGAATAAATTACGATTTTTCATGTAAAGTTGGTTCTTACAAAAGTATGGGTAACTAAGACTCAAATTAATAAAATCTTTTACACAACGTTAATATGTATCTCATTTCTGACTCTTATCGTTTTTTTAGTAATAAACACACTCTTATTCAAAAGTTACTTGTATTAGTGTTATAGGTTTTGTAAATGGTGAGAGCGAATGGAATGACGAATGAGAGAGAGAGCGAGAGAAGGAGTGAGAGAGAGAGGATAAAATATATAAAAGAAAATACGAGCCGCTGGAAACAAGTCGAACTAATAGAATAAGACCTGAGTACCAGACTAAGGAAAAATAGATCGGCCTTTATCCAACAATTTATCTAACATTAGAAACTAATAAAAAAAAATATGAAGTTGTACATAAATAATTGATAAATATTTTCAACATCTCTTATAATGGTACGTTTTACTTTCATTTTTTCATTGTTAAGTTATTTATTTTAAGATAATAAATACTAGATCATTGGACCCCTCACGAAGTTTATGATAAGGATTATAATAATAAAAGAAGAATAGTTTTAATTTTTTTAAATTTAATTTTTCCATATGTGGACTATATTTCTGTATATCGAAAAATATACTATTAATTTAAAAACATTCAGGGACACTTCTGTGTTTTATTAATATGTAATTTAAATCATATTTCGTTATTTTATCGAGCGAAAATGAATTTTGTTAATTTATATTGTTTTTATCTTTTACTATGAATATATTTGTAATATAAATAAAGATTTACGTTCTGGAAGTACACATTGTTCTTAGAATTTTGTTCGAAATACCCTGAATTTATATTTAGAAATAATTATTATTTAAAATGTATATGATCCACGTATGCTTTCTATTGTTCCAGTAGCCTGATTTACGTGAAAGGGGAACAGTAGTACTTTGATGTGACATAGACAAACAGTAAGAGAATATTCTAAGTGCAAACAAGATTAAGTTATTCGTTTATAGCTACAGCAAAAGTCGGTATAAAATGGAAATAAATTTTATACGTATTGGATTTATTTTGTCTGCCACATTAGTTGGTATATTAGGGTTGTTGATTAATTATTTAGAACCCTATTTACCTCTGAGCATTTCTCGTTCATTTCGTTATGGTAAATTTGCTGTCAATAAATATCAACCGATTGTACAAAAAATTGAAGTGCCTAAAAGGTAAGCGACAATAACAATAACATTACATATTATTTTGTTAACTATCGATTAAATGAGATAGTAATATATAACATTTTAGATACTTTAAACATTTTTACATGTTTGCTGGACCAGCTTCAAGTTATATATTATATATGGTTATTTATAAATACTTGTGGCATGGTGATATATCTAAAAGTATTATATGGATATTAGATATATGCCTTGGAACATTTCGACAACCACTGGGTAAGTAAAATAAATGGGGGCTCACCGCAACGTCCATTGTTGGAAGTGTTAAGGGTCGCTATTCTGCTGTTTCATTGGAATTGCTATACCTCAGAGATGCCAGAAAAGCACCGCCGGGTGCACACGCACACATGCCAGATACGCGTACGTGAGCTCGTGGAGTTTCGGAAAGTCGACAAAGGCAAACTGACGCATGCCCTCTTTCTCGATTCTCCGAAGCTGCCCGAAGTAATTTCGTATCGCCTCGTGGGAGTCGAGAGAGAAAGGCTCACATTTGCCTTCTCGCTCTAAACAACTGAAATCCGACCTCCCGTCAACGGCATACGATTTGGATTCTCGAGCCGAGATTCTCGACTGCCCAGGCATTTTTACTTTCCGACCTATGTAGGCGCGCCTAAGCAAAGTATCCATAATGAAAAAAAAATTTTGTAAAATTTATTTTACGGAAATACACGTTTTAAGACCTCCTGATCATATTTTAATTATTGAAAAAAAAGAAATTTTTTTTTATTCCCATGTATGAGCACACATATGTATATTATTAATACGATTTTTGAAAATCAAAATACTTTAAGATTGAAAATTAATAAATTAAAATGAGATTCCACTCTTTACCAGTATTGTGCACGCTGTGGTATTTTTCAATAAGAAGAATTCTTACTTTTATAACATAAACAAAACAGTAGAATTAATAATTGCAGAAATTAATTAAGAATGATTTTCCTCGATTGTTTTGAAATAACCGTATCAATTGGTTATGACGAACTAAATAGAACTAACTAGAAACAAAGGAAAAGTGATCCCGTTTGCCAGTTTAATACAAAGTATGGGTTGTATCTTAAATTTTAAAAGGACATAGTCGAATATTTTTAAAGGTACAAAACATAGCGTTTCATTGTAGAACAGTAACATAAGTTAGCAGGTAATGTCATAAAACTATTTTTCCCAGCTATATCCCTTTTTACCTGAAGCATAAGGTAAAAAGTACGAGCTACAAGGTACGACTATCCGAAAATCGTTCACATTTTATCAATGTAAATGAAGCGGCCTTTCCATCAGAGTTAAATACAAAATTTTGTAATTTCTGTGAAAACAAAACTTTCAGTAAATGTACGTGGTGTTTGAAATTTTTATGTTTTGACTGTTTTTGTGAAAAGTACCATCCAGATTCATGTACTTCGTACATTGAAAATAACATATGTTAAATGTAATCGGTTAAATATAACTTTAAAAAAAAATATTCGAAGGTCAGACAAAAATATAATGTCACATTTAGTGTACGATTAAAATATGATTGAAAAAATAAAAAAAAGGATTTGTTTTGGCAGGGTTTGAACCTGCAGAGCAGAAGAAGCTCGGAACTTGCAGGCAAATACCTTGTCATTCACGCCACGCTGATTGTTGAACGTATTTCTATTTTTGAAGATAAGTACCTGTAATAACTTTAATAATATCTCAAAGTAAAACCTAACCCAAAACCTGGTACCATTCCAACTTTTCCTTGTTAGAAACGAGTTTTCAATTTGTCTTAGCGAAAATCGCAATCACATTTTGCACATTATTCTAAAACATTTGTGGTATTCGTTTTCAATGCGATTTAAGTAAGCATGTAATGTATAAGATTTCATTTAATGTTTTCTTTTCTAGAGAAGATAGAGAAAAAGTTTATATAATTTTTTTTATATAAAATTTAATTCGTCCTAAGATTTATATGAAACATTTAAAAGATTTTTTATACATTATGCCTATATATCGGAACAACTATGAAACAAGAGGTATAATCTGTAAGGAGTGTATGTGTGTGGCTAGGAGAACCGTTATCGTTTGCGTCGATAGGAGTGTTTAGTCTAAGCTAGAGTAGGTATCGAGTGAGGTGTTTAGGTTTAAGCTGAAATACGTTTTAGAGACTGCGTCTCGAACGTGCGTTTTGTTTAGATCATTATTATAAGATAGGAATAAGGAAGGGTCGACTTTGACTGCAGGAACGTCACTCTGTATCGAACGTTAGTCAAGAGCAATCACAGTTTTACGTTTATGATCTTTTACGTTTACGTTTTATGTCTTTCTTTTATGTTCTTTATGTTAAATAGTTAGTAAATATTAAATAATATAATTACATCGTTACGTTTAGTGTTCACGTATTTGAATCCGTCCACACGCCTTTGAAATGAGAACATAAAACTTAAATGTAAAGTTTCATTTAAATTCATTCAGCTATTTATATTCAATCGTATTAATAATATACATGTGTGCTCATACATGGGAATAAAAAAAAATTTCTTTTTTTTCAATAATTAAAATATGATCAGGAGGTCTTAAAACGTGTATTTCCGTAAAATAAATTTTACAAAATTTTTTTTTCATTATGGGTACTTTGCTTATGTGCGCCTACATAGGTCGGAAAGTAAAAATGCCTGGGCAGTCGAGAATCTCGGCTCGAGAATCCAAATCGTATGCCGTTGACGGGAGGTCGGATTTCAGTTGTTTAGAGCGAGAAGGCAAATGTGAGCCTTTCTCTCTCGACTCCCACGAGGCGATCCGAAATTACTTCGGGCAGCTTCGGAGAATCGAGAAAGAGGGCATGCGTCAGTTTGCCTTTGTCGACTTTCCGAAACTCCACGAGCTCACGTACGCGTATCTGGCATGTGTGCGTGTGCACCCGGCGGTGCTTTTCTGGCATCTCTGCTATACCTCTAAATTTACTATAGATTAAAATTCGTATAAACACACGCGCACAGAAAAACAGTTTAACGCAATAAAATTCGTAAAGTGGAAACTATTTGTACACGAAAGTTATCGAAAATATTTTATTTAAGTTTTAGTTTTTATTTGGTAATTATACTTTTAGTGTCTCCGGAAAGTACGTTTGTAGCTGCCATACTTTTGAGCACGCAGTGCTGGAAAAGATTTTACGAAACACAATATGTAACAATTTTTAGCAATGCAAAAATGAATATCACTCATTACTTAATTGGATTTTTTCATTATATCGGAGTCTTAATGTCCGTTATAGGTGAATCTAAAGGATTTGTTAGAGGTGATTGTGTATTCAAATATTTGATCAAATGAAATTCATAATTATTTAATTAAGTTCAGTTAGTTTAAAAATGTTTTTAATCCCTCGTATAGGTTCAGAAGGAAATTTCTCGTGGCAGAAAATTACATATGTTCAGTTAATATGTACAGTAATCTTTTTATCATCATCATATGCTCAACTCAAGGCGAACTATGTTCTTAGAAGTCTACGAAAAAATAAAGATGGCGAGACTAATTCAAACGTGTATAAGATACCGCGGGGTGGTCTTTTTGAATATGTATCAGGTGCATTGCAAATTACGGAGATAATTATTTATGTAACAAGTTCTATAATTTTGTGGGAAAGCTCTACATTTCATTATGTCACGCTTTGGGTTTTATCAAATCAGGTATTAATATTTCGTAATATATTTTTAGCGTACGAATTGTATATTCTAATAACTTATATTTATTTTTAGATAAGCACTGCTGTATTAACTCATAAGTGGTATGTACAGACATTCCAGAATTATCCAAAATCTCGAAAAATTCTACTCCCATACCTTTTTTAAGTGTTACATTATGTAATTATAAATATTTTTGTTATAATTATTTCTTATATTTATTAAAAATTCAAATAAATCGTTGACATTCGTTCCCCAAAAATATTTTTAACCCTTTGTACTCAGCTGTCCCCTCTGAGGGGGCATCGTAAATCTAACAAATAATTCAAAAGCCCCCTTAAGGGAGGCTCAAAGAGATCTCTGACGATTATATAGGGCAAATTAACAAAAATATATATTTTAAATGCAAAAAATATTTCATTTGACTCACTCTTAGCGTGTCTCGTTCATTATCTTCATCAGACGGTTCGCGCAACGTTGGGTCTTAGTCTCAAATAAAGATGGCGGACTTCTGAAAAAAATCGCTACCCGATTTGCGATCAGTTATCCGGAAAACAGTGTGTACGGTGTAATAAAACATACTATAAAATAATAATAGTAAATGATATGAGAAATTTATATCTTTTAAAATTGTACACATGTTCAACAGTGTAAGCAATTTCTGTTAAAGAACAGTGATCTTAAATATTAATTTATTTTGCATTACGTACAAAGAAATGCAAATTATATTTATGATACAATGTGTTAACAATGATTAGATGTAAAATATTACGAGCATCCTCCTTGTATACAATTTATCGTGGAACCTCGCCTGGCAAGTTAGAAATTCCCTTTGCAATATATACAAATAATAACTTCCTACAGATATTCTCCTATTTGAATAGTAAGCTGAAACAGATCAATTATTCATCGCTGAGACAGAGAATAGTATTAATTCATACGAAACTCTAAGATTGAAATATATTATTATATTCATTGAACTTTTATGTACGCATGCTCCAGAGGCAGCGGATAGTTTTACGAATATATTAATATATTTCAACAAAGAATCATATTCTGTTATTTATAATTAACCCCTTCCCGTGGCATTTAGCTCAACGATATCCGGGCTCAAACAGTGGGCATAAACTGATACTAAACTGCTTTGTAACAGAGATTATAAGAATTGTGACCAACTCTTGTGGCGTACCAATAGGAACTAAAACTCAATCACGATCGTGGTTTGCTGTTCGCGAGTCTGGCTCATGATATTCATGTTTGAGCCAAAAAGGAAGGGGTTAATAATATTTTCAACTGGTATACCTATATGGATAGCCCTGTGCTTTATTCCTAAATATTGATAACAGGAGGCTGAAGAAAATGGCGACTAATCCGACACCTATTGCAGCAAATATTCTTCGTTTTTTCACATCACCTTTGCGCGATGCTGCTTCAATCATTAATATCATACCTAATACCACCGCTCCGTCTAATTACATTTCATTAAGGAAAGCACTATACGATATAAATAGATTCTTTAAATAAATGCAGCAAAATTAAAGGAGCTTTTTTCCCCCAAAACAAAAAGGATACTCAAAACCATAACGATATACGTTTCCAAAATGAATTGACCTTGAGAAGAAGCATGGATGTAAGCCACGTTTCCATTAGATAGTTTATGTATGAATGGTGGCCCCCTAATATGATTCCACATTTGGCCAGATACCATTATGAGGGTAAAGAACTACGAGCAATTTCATTTTAATATAAATTGGGTCGTTCTTCTAAATGGCATTCGCGGCCGATAGACGACAAATTTGGAGGGATTACGACGACGCAAAAACTACTACACAACGAAGATATTTGTGTACGGCGACATATAATTTCCAATATTCCTTTATTAATATCTTGGAAACTGTTTAATTTTCGAAGCTAAAATTTTATATTTGGTATCTATTTTTTATCCACCTTCGTCTCTTGAAATTTTATATGGATCGGCCGCGAGTGCCACTCGGAAGAATATTCGTAAATTGATATGTAAATTACTGATCCTATGAAATAAAATATTACCAGTGCACCAAATCCCCAAATTGTTTTGTTATAAATGAAATCTAAGTTATTACGTCTCAGGTATAAGAACCCTCCAATAAGTACTAGAAACATTGTTATTGCTACTGTTCCAGAATAATTTGGTGGTCTGAACACTCTAATCTGTAATTGGTTTAAAAATATTACTGACAGTTTTCACCAACAGTTATTAACTATATGCAGGTAGAAATACCTGAATATCAGTACGTTCAGATATCCACTTAGCAATCGCTTCTGCACCAAAGCCAACTCTTTGAATGTCCATAGTATCTGCTGGCTTTGGTTTACCTTTTGGTGGAAAATGCATATATACTGGTGCAGTATTTAGTCTCATCTACATAAAATGTTTTAAGTTTTAACAATATATATTGCATATTCTTATATGTTAATATTTGATGATGCTTTATATACCATTTGAAATACATCAGACCCTTCATCAAAATCTACAGATGCAAAGAATAATTTCTTTGAATGAGATTGTAAATACCGAAATGAATTTGCGACTATTACAAACTCATCATTCGCGTGTCTAAAGGAAGAAAAGTTCACTTATAAAAAGTTACTTATGATTTAATAAAGTTTGAGGTAAAATTGCACTTACCTGCATATTTGGCACTGCCTTTGCGGCGCCATGGCAGTGAACATTACCACAATAGAATAATTTCTTGGCGTAGTTCTGACATATTCTTTAAACTTTGCCCCATTAAATTTTATTACAGGTCTTGTGAGGGCTAGCTCCGACAATTGTTGTACACGATCTGATAAAGAGGAGCCTTGAGTCTAAAATACAGGAAAGAGATAAAATTAAAGCTTATTTAATTTTTAACATTTTAGGTTAAGTAATCCTTTCTTGCATTAGAAAACTACGAATTGTACGAAAGTATTAAAAGAAATTGATAAAAGCTATTTGTTGAGATTCATTGAATGTTTTATAAGTAAAACCAACAAATTCAATTGTAAAATTAATTCCACGTGTCAATATTCATGTGTGTCACAGAATATTTAACGGATTCTCACATTTTTTGTCCTATATTGACAACAAACGTAGTTTAGACTCAAAACAAGCCCTAAGAATATAATACAATTTTTATAATCCATTTTAAACAACGGTACAGAAACTCGTTAAAAGCTCTGCGACCGGGAACACGTTGTAATGACAAAATGACAAATTTATCGTGGAAAGCCCATTGGTCTGTTCGATACAACGTGGCATTTGACATGCGAACATTCTGACAACTCTTGAAAAGTGTTGAAACAATGATAAAACTTATTATTTTATATCATTAGATTTTTTTGAGTAAAATAAGTTTTATCACTCCTTAAGTAAATGTAATAAATTCTCAATATAAATATTAAGTATTTTATACTACGACATCTGTTGTGTTTAAAACCATACATTTATATTAGAAATATTTCAATATAATCGGGTTGGAGACGTTCGTATTTCTTTAAACATTTACAGTAGACCTATACGTTCGAAAAATTTTTAATTTAATGTATAATGTGTTGTTACAGAGAAATTTTAAAATTGAAAAATTTCTGAAGCTATATTACGTTATATTACGCGTTATAACATTAAAAACCAAAATGAAATATTTCCTACAGTGTTGAGTTTTTAGTGATCTTTCCTTACACTTTTAATACCGACTAACGTAAAGAATTGATTCATGCAAAACGATCAGTAAAATTTCATTAAAAATGAGATGCAATTACATTTTGCAACTGCAACGATGCATCTCTGGAAAAAATTGCTCTACACGATAATAGACTATGTTGAATAATGCAAAATGTTCCCGTATAATTTTGTTTTATCTTCGATAGGAGCAGATTTATAGTCCAGCCTAGTTACTAAACTCTGCCTGTATATAAACAATTTAATAATGAACTGTAAGCATTATTTAACTTTTACAGTATTTAATCGTGTATATTGCAATATTAGCATTGTTCTATTTAGAAATTGGATTAAAACGTAAAAGGATAATTAATGTGGACACGTAGACAATGTAATGCTGAAATGAAAGAACAGGAAATACTATAGTGTAATATTTAATCTTTAAGTGTCGCACGTAAGAACATGTACAGGGTAGGGGGAGGTGGATTGAAAGAAGGAATGACACAGGGACGATTTTCTACGGGGTTACAAAAGAAGGGGCACTCAGTACGTTACAGGGTACACCTGGTAATTCCACATACACACAGAGACGTGTCGCTTGCTTCTAGAAACAGCTGTATCTCATTTGCGCTTACTCTTCGCGCATACGATACCCGCCAAAAACAGGAATTCTTTTTACCACTGATTCATCAGTTTTTCTTTTCCTTTTCGTTGAAGTAAATTTAAAACATTATAAATTTCTATGAATATAAATTAATGTTTACAGTCACTATCGTATCAATCACCCTCGATTCGAGTCTGCGTAAAATAATACGCGGGAAAGTGGTTTCCTCTTTTTGTTTTCATGATTTAATTCATTGCGATAATAGTTAGGAAGAAATTTCATATTTCTTTGAATCTTAATTTGAAAAAAATACTTCTATAGATAACTTATCTCCTCAAATCGTACAATCAAAAAGATTTATGACAAATAAGTGAAAAACCAATGGAAAATGCAATTTATTAATTTCTGCCAAATATCAATACGAGTTAAATTTTACAACCTGTTATTAATTGTTGAAAGTCTCAACTGTGACATATTCGCACAGGACACATTGGTTTATAAAAACCTGAATATGTTAAGAAGAATTATTTTTACGATCTATATTTATTATAACCATTTTATTTTACTTTACGAGTTCTACTAATCACTTTAAATGATTACATCTTTGGTGTTATACTGTGTTCAAAGTTGAACGTTACTTAACAAAAGCAATGCTATGCATCGATATCTTTTGCAATAAGTTTGATAACATTTTTTTCATTAACTGTATGTTTTCTAGACAACGTTGTAGGACTTTTTTACTCCATTATTTATCGTCTCTTTGAAGAGGACTATCTTTTTTTACAGACATTTTGTATATTTGTTAAAACTTTACAGAAGTGGCGACAGGGATTTGTTATTACGCTACTGAGTCTCGTACTTAAATGCATCTGTTACCGGATTGGCCAATTGCATAATGCGAGTCCGTTGATTCGCTGTTGCGTCCACGTTGAACTTCTTTAACCGTCATTTTAAACGAGAAAACCGGTACAACACGAAGAAACGTTGGGCAGTGTCTGCCATGCAGAAGTGCAGGGTACAGGAATCTTCGTTGGCATTCGCGGTTTAGACTTCAAAGGAAGGGGACGTTCAACGTGCGTGTATAAGTTTATTTCTCTACGTAACAACGTCGGTTAAGTGTTTAATTGTAAATTAGTGTTAACGTCGCTTCTACCAATTGTGTATTTTTCTACGAATAAGTTTAAAAACGTTTAAAAATGTCGTTTTCAAAAGCAAGAATCCAAAGATTTAACGAGTGTGAAAGTAAGTACATATGCTCTTTCATCATTCATTTTTAACATACAAACGGCACATACGTCTTGAATAGATATGTTTGTTGTTATAATAATAAATTAATAATATCACCGTATTTATTATTTGGTGCTTTACATCGAAATTATCTTTAAGTTATTAATCTTTTCAAAATGTTTCTACTCTTCACTTTTACGTTTGGCCAAAATGTTATATTTTAACTATTGTATCTTTCTGAAAAAAAATTGTATAATAGTTTCTCTGGGATCATTTTATAGATTGTACTATGTATCTAATTTTACGTCCCTAGATTGAATTTTTTTGAATTTTTTAACGATTAAAATCTGTCTTTAGCAACGACTCTCTTAAAAGTTGATGTTTTAAATTTTTTGCCGTTTTATTCCACTTTGAACGAGGAATATACTGTCGGAATTAAAATACGCATAGGACATTTACTTTACAAGGAATAACAGTGGAACATGTTGCAAATTTATTCTAGAATCAATTTTACTTTATTGAGTATTTTATGTTACAAGGAGCATGTGATTTAGAAGTTGGTCACGTATTTTAAGTGAAACTAGAAACTAATAATTTTTTAAGCATTTGAGTTTAAAATACGATTTTAGTAAAATCGTTCTCGCTCTCTTTAAAATCGTTCGACCTTTAAAACAACCTCAGAACGTGGACGATTTACTGTAGGAATTTTGGCGCGAAATGCATCCTGCAGTTACTATGAAAGCTTAACATTCTCTGATGTACAAAATGATTAATAAACTAAATACGAACGATTAATGTAAAATAAAACTAACGTTACGTTGAAATGTAAGAGAATAGCGATGTGCGTGGATATTTAATTTTTAAATGCTTCACGTACGAATAAACGCAAGAGGGTAGGGATAAAAGGAAGTGGAATGCAAGGGTCGATTTCGTTGGGGAACCCTGTAAGAAGGGGCAGTCGTTACAGCGTACACCTGGTAATTCTATGACCCCATAGAGACGTAACCGACTTGGGCGTAGAGGGCTTCGATTCAGAGGGGTCGAAGGTTATTTTCGACTTCGACGATCCGTCTTACTAACGCAGTTGAACGTTGGTTCAAATAACTTTGAATACATTTTTACGTGGATCAAGGGTCAACGAACTTTACCCGGAAAAGGTCGAATAATAACAATTTTTAATTTTGCCTAACATCGAGGAAATTAATCTAGACAATTACGCGCGCGCGCACAAGAAACGCATGTCCATCGAGTTTTCACGCATAAAAATTATAAGTGCCCTATGTCTTGAAAATAATATTTAATCAGGAATAAATTAGTCCATTATTTAAGAATTTTTGTATAAATATAAAACTAAAGTCTTGGATTAAACAATTATTTTCCGTTTCGATTTGTTCCATCGCTTTTAAATATCCTGTATAGAAGATGGAGAACAATATAAAGTACCTACCTACGTATTTTCCCTACAGGGTGTTCGGCCAACCGTGGGAACAATTTTAATGGGGGATTCTAGAGGCCAAAATAAGACGAAACTCAAGAATACCAATTTGTTGATACAGGCTTTGTTAAAAAGTTATTAATGTTTAAAGTTCCATCCGTATTGAATTTTTTTCTCGTAAATGCGCAGGATTTCGGGGGTATGTCTATTCACCAAAAATTATTGTAATTGACCCCAGCAAACGAAAATAATTTTTTTAGAACGATTTGAAATTTTTTTTTCCTTCGAAAAATTTCACACCTTCTCGAATTTTTTTCTAGAAAATGCGCAAGATTTTGGGGGTATGTCTATTCACCAAAAATAATTGTAATTGACCCCCGCAACCGAAAATAATTTTTCCAAAACGATTTGAAATTTTTCTTTCCTTCGAAAAATTTCACACCTTCTCGAATTTTTTTCTAGAAAATGCGCAAGATTTTGGGGGTATGTGTAATGACCAAAAACGATTGTAATTGACCCCCGCAACCGAAAATAATTTTTCCAGAACGATTTGAAATTTTTTTTTTCGTCGAAAAATTTCACACCTTCCCGAATTTTTTTCTAGAAAGTGGGTAGGATTTCGGGGGTATGTCTATTCACCAAAAATTATTGCAATTGACCCCCGCAACCGAAAATAATTTTTCCAGAACGATTTGAAACTTTTGAATTTAATTGTTAATAACTTTTTAACGAAGCCTCCATCAACAAATTGGTATTCTTGATTTTCGTCTTATTTTGGCCTCTAGAATACCTCATTAAAATTTTTCCCATAGTTCCTACATGTTTATTTATTTATAATAATCAAAGATTAATAATTAAAGATAGAAATACGAGAAACATTGTATACTGAATATGTATTATATTTAAAAAAATTAACATAGCCAAAAAGATTAACAGTGCTTGTTATTATTGCTAGAATTTACCAAACGATTTCTACACTAAAATAATATTGATATAAAAAATCTAAGGAAATTTAAAATATTGCTGAATATTTATTTAAAGCGTGATCTATTTATAGATAAAGTGCCACCGCCGGGAGCGTACGATCCAAAGTTCGAAGTTAAAGTGAAAGGTATTGTCATCGAGAAATCGGATAGATTCCACGATAACAAAAGTGTAGCTAGCGCAGAATATAATGTATCAGTTTCTACCAAAAGTACGTGTAACGTAGCCGCGAGTTTCAGAACGGTAAGTAATCAGAAATTAAATCGAACGAAAAATTAAAATTAATTTTAATTAAACCGTGTTTGCTTACAGCCCCAACTTCCCCGGAAAAAGGTATCGCCGAGGACCTGTTCGAAAGCGAAGCCACGTGCTCTTGTTCCGGTAAACGTAAAGAAATTGAAGTACAAATCCGAGCACGAGCTCGCCGATCTCCAAGCGGAATGTAAAAACAAAGACAAGACTATACAGGAGCACGAGAAGCTCATCGAGGACATGAAAGTGGAAGCACGAAAGTTGGAACTACAGCTGGAAGACTTACTTCGGAAACAAACAGAGACCGAGGAACAGCACAAAAAAGATATAGAAACAATGGTAGTGTGGAACGTTTGTTGTAATAAAAAATCTGTCTATCATTGTCAAATTCCTAATCTGTAAATTTTATTCAACAGGCGAAACTGCAACAGGACGTGTTAAATGGCCACACGGAGAAACATCAGCTCGAAATAGAGAATTTTCGGCGCAAATTGTTAGAAATGTCGGAGGAGAAGGAACGCGACACGGAGGCTAGAAAAGAAATTGAAGAAGCTCTCAAGAAACGTATCGCGGAGTTTTCGGGAAGAACGGTCGATTTAGAATCTGAATTAAACAGTAGAAATCACAGGAGCGAGGAAAAAGTATAAATGAATGACAGTATTACGAAAATAAATCTTGTAAACGTTGTAGGATTTTTTTAAATTTTTAATCGCGGTTCGCAGGTACAGTCTCTTGTCGTGAAAATGGACGAACTTCTAATGCACTTTGACGAGTTGTCCGAAAGGCACAGATGCGAAATCAGTTCGTTGGAGCATGATAAAACCGAGCTGAATGCTTTTATCAGTCATTTGACCGAGGAAATTGGCGAATATGAGGACAGACTGAAAAGAACAGTCGCCGAGAGCGACGAAAAGGTAAGCAAGACTAATGTGCTTAACACTTTACCGACCGGTAGCGGTTGATTAATCGGCTATCGGTCGGTAAACGTTGACCGATAAAACAGTTGATTAATAGGCTATCGGTCGGTAAGCGTTGGCCGGTAAAACAGTCGATTAATAGGCTATCGGTCGGTAAAGTGTTAACATAGAAGACATATTATTTTACATCTTCTGCGCTGAAGAGCCTAACGCAAGCTTGTTAATGCAGATGAGTACTATGATCAAAGAAACGAAGGCTGCCGCGGAAGAAGAAATGAAATTGACCTTAGAAAGGTACAAAGCATGTTTAGCGCGAGTAGAAACGGAACGGACAGCTTTGGACGAGAATCTTGTGCAAAAAGACGATGAAATTGCCAGACTTACCGTGATCCTCGAAGAACTAAAATCATCTGCGGAAACTCAGGTAATTAGAGTATTTTATAATTATTTTTTTTTGTCTGGCGCATCGTGAACGATACTTACAAATCAACGAAATCAGTAACGTAATCTTAAGTCATCAAATGTGCAAAAATTAGGAGAGTTTCAGTCAAAGTTTGCAAATGGAGCTAGATCGCGCTGAAACTGAATTAGCAGGGAAAAAAGAGGAACTGAGGGCTTTGAAAGATCAGATTCGATCGGAAGCAGCAGAAATGGTGTCCAGAAGAAAAAGGTAATGATTTATTTATATAGATACATTCCCCCAAAAGTATTAGCGTGATGTGATACAATCGAAATGTGAATTAATTCTACACGGAAAAATAAATCGAAAACATGGAATTAAATTTTACGTTGTGCATCGTTTTCGAGACAATTACTTTCGAGGATACGAAATTGAAGCGCACGCTTTGCATATAAATCTCAATTTTTCGGAGAAATTAAAAAAAAGAATTATTAATCTTAAACATTATCTATAAATATAATTCATTAATTAAACTGAATTTCATTACATAGCGCGCGTGTATTAATCAAAATTCTAAATAGAAATTCTTGGAAAAAAACTTGTCCAAAAGAATTGTATTTTATGTTTCTGATTTATTTCCAAATGTAAAACCACCAAAAATAAACGAGTTATTCGGGGTAACTGAGTTTAAAATATTAAAATGTTTAGATTCGAAGTTGTAATGGCTGAAAATCAAGCATCGGTTGCTGCCTTAACTAAACGTTTAGCGCAAAGTAACGCCGAGGTAGAACGACTGCAACGTGAATTGAAGCGAGGCGAAGACTGTATAAACGAGCATCGTGATCTATTGAGTATCATGCGTAACAATTCGCAAATGGTGCATGTACAGGTACACACTCTAATGGAACAGTTAGATGCTAAGAAAGGCTTGGTCAATCAACTAGAGGCTGAAAGTTTAAGCGAAGTAGAGTCGATAAGAACTATTTTCGAAGCTAAATTCGAAGACTTGAGAAAAATCGTGACGAACGAAGTAATGAAATTGCAAACTGATTGTGACGAAAAAGACGCGAAAAATATCGAGGTGCGTGTTGCTATCTTTGTATCAGAAATGTTTCCGACAGTTGCTATAGAAAAGATTAATTGCAATTAAATTTGATATATTAGATGAAAAATCAACTTGAGGAAATGGCTGGCCATCTCAATGAAGCACAAACCATGTTAGTAAAATTGGAAGAGAGGTGTGATGCTCAAGAGTTGGAGATATCTCGAGTGGAATTGCTTAATATTAAACTCAACGATCATTTGAAAGCTAATAAAGCAGCTATGGAAAAGACTACTAAACTGTTAGAGACTCAATCGGCAAAACAAATAATTGCTTTGAACGAGGTATATATATATTTAATATTACGTCTTTTTCGTTGGATAATAGAATATAAATAGCACCATCTATTGTTATGTGATATTTTTAGACAAATGCTAAAAAAGAACTTCGCGATAAAATTAAAGGTCTCGAGGAAAAGAATAGCATCATGCAGGTAATTGGTATTTTTCATGAACGTTTTCAATATATAAAAAGAATAATAATAATTCATTTGTAAACATTAGTAAATATATTTTAATATATTTATCGGGGTTTTATTTTTTTCATAGGATAAAACTGAGCTATTTGAAGAGGAGAAAGCCTCCCGAGAAGCAGCTGATATGTAAGTTTTTTTTTTCCCCCGCGCATTATGCATTTCATAAATTCTGTCGATTAGGTAGTTAACTAATAAGTTCCGTTTTATTCGCTTAGGAAAATAAAAGTTCTCCTCGAATATAACGAGCGTCTCGCAAAAGATTATCAAGAGATTAGTGACAAGTATGCCGAGTTAATTGGTCATCAGAATCATAAACAAAGAATTAAGCACGTGTCTCACTTAAAAGATAAAATCAACCAACTGAAACAGGTGCGTCTGATGGCCTTTCTTGGATTCGCCATCAGTTTGTATTGGATAATGGATTCTTCTAACGTCATTACAACAGTTCTCATTGTCACGATAGTACTCGTTGGTTACAGTTCGATTTATTTATGGCAATTCTCTTTGCCAATTTCTGCCGCTAAATCTGTTTTTACTATTCTTATATTATTATTAATAGATGTTTGTTCGTTTATATCGTTAAATTAAACTCGTGCAAATATTTAGCTTTATCTGTTATGCAATGAAACTGTTTTTGTTAATTCGTGCATTGAATATACATATTTGGGCCAGTATCCTTTTGCGTGAAGATTTGTTGCCCGGTACACACACATATTACATACATTATATTAGTGACGAGCACATAAATAAATATTATTATTTCAAAAAGAAAAAAGAAAGCATGAATTCATTTTTCGTTTGTCCGTTTGTTAACCACGTTTATGTTGGTATGTGTTCTTGTTGGAAATTTAAAATGGTAAAATGTAGTGTATATTTTTAGGAATTACATGTCAAAATAAAGATAACAGAACAGCAGCAAAAAATCATAGAAAAATTGAGAACAGAAGAGAAACGTGCGCACAGTAAAGGGAAGGAAAATATGTTAGGAATTCCGAAGAGCGATCATGCAACACCCGTTTCTTCTCCGCATAAACCATTGACTCCTCTGAGAGATCGGAATGATTAGTTATCGTTATTATAGGTAGAAATGTTTGTTTATAATTATAATAAATGCATGTTAATCAAAATTATTCTAGAGGTAATTGTAATCCAATTATACATGCATTGATTCATAATATGCCCGTACTTTAGTACTAATGTTCATAGCATGTTTTATTAGGAATACATTTTAAAAACACTATATGGTAAACTATAGCGTATATCTATATTAGTAACATGTTAATCCTAACAAGCTTAATATCGAGTTTACGTATCCAACACAATTTTACGTGAAATCACATGTTCAGTTTGGTAGGTCCCGTTAAAAGTCTGTGATGATTATGTTTAGTTGTAAAGTTTATACTTTTAAGCAATATGCACTACTTGTACATGCAATAATTATAAGCTCAACGTTAAAAGAAAAGAATTTTATTTATATGACAAATTTATTTTCCAATCAGTATTTCAATATACATATTTAATTTTGTAGATAAAACAAAAGCTTTTGCACTGAATCTTTATGATCTATATGTTAACCTGTTAGTGGCGTTGTTTCTCGTTTAGAGATGCACTTCCCATGCCCTTAATGACAAATATGTAAAGACGAGTTAATTCGTCTTGTCCACAGTAAATGCGAATTTAATACAAAATGTTATGTTGAAATTACAGACAGATATTTTTCGATAAATAAATTTCCATTTACACGACACATATTGCGATTAAAGAAACTAACTTTTATTTTACTTTCTCAGTTATATATTATTATTATTAAATGGTTTTACTAGTGAAAGTAAAATTTGTTATTATTGCAATACATAAACAATTAATATTTTTCTGTAAAGTATTGTTCGAAATAGTACATTTGTATAACAACAATATCTCTGCTAGTGTATTAAATTTTCATGGCGAGTCAACTCGTTTTCTCCGGTTAATAATCTATTAATTAAAGAAAAATGCGGCAAATTATATACGTCGCATTGAAGTAAATGGAGAACACAAATACTTCTTGTGCTTGCGTTTATTTTCAATTTTAAATGTACAAAATGATCAAGTACAGAAAGTATTTGACAATAATTCCTTGTACTTTTAATTTTATCTTTAATTTATTACATGCCAATGTACTCTAATAAAACTGATATATTGAATTTATACATATTGTTGTTGTAGTAAAGTAATTCTTATTTCAAAGTTTCAAGATCACGATTCCAGATTTCAGACTTTGCTTGAAAGTGGGGGTAAGTAGCTATTTTAATATTAATCTTTATACTAAACCTATTTACCATGTAATTAATAATTTTCCATTCTTATCTACCGACGCTACTATTAACTCCCGCCCAATTTAAATCGCGTGACTGTTAAAACAGGAAACAGTTGTTTAATCTTAACACTAAACTGTTAGAGTTTGCCATAATGCCTAACCAAACATCTACCTAGCTATAAATCTAAATTCGTTTATTATATCGAGAAGCAATCCTAAAACTGCAGCTATTAGCTCGATGTTACCCACGATAGAAAAGCTTTTTTATCGTGGGTAACACCGATTACCAGGTCTCACCACGTGGAGGTTGCTGCGAGTGGAGACCCGAAGGAAATCAAAGTTCCAGTGATCTCCCTTTTATATTCTTACAAGCTAGATTACTAAACTAGAAAGATAGAAGGAAGCAATGGTCTTTCGATCTTCTAGTTTAGTTGTACCAAGTAATTATTTCGTTTAAAAAGGGGTGAAGCTAAATTATGGGATAAATGAGTGGAATGGACTTACTACTTGTTGTCACATAGTTACACACGGTATTTCAGCACTGGTCAGTAGTGGTCAGTAGTGGTCAAAAGTTCTCCACGAGTCCTCGCGAGTGGTCAGTCTTGGTCACTAGTGGTCACTACTGGTCAGCATTAGCCCCCAGAGCTCGTCAGTGGTCAGTAGTGGTCGGTAGAAGTGGAGCGCAGACTCACGACGTTCCGTCACGTCCGCCAGCTCAGGGGAGAAAGAGAGAGAGAGAGTTCGTCACCAGCAGTTAGCCTCAGGCGGAAGAGTTAAAGGGGTGGGGAAGACCGTCCTTGGCGTGTTCACCAATCAAGTAACGGTTAACCATACCTTTGACCGAAAAATGAATATTCTACGCAAAATGATATTGAAAACAATTATTTATACAACCCACGCTATCGAGCATTATTTTAACTATTGTCTGATGTTAATTAATAATTATTGCAAACAATAGGCATGAAAATATGAACAAATTCGAGGAGACTGATGGTATCTTTGAATTTCTGTCGAAAACCAAGGTCGTACATCACGTATTCGTTTCTTCGATCTTCTGTCCTTTATACGATACTTTCTTTCGTATAAATTTCCATCTTTCAACGCCCAACAAAACACACATTAATACACACGAAGAGAAGTTGTGTATTTTGGATCGTAAATTTGCATCGATGCTTGAGTAATCAATCGATTAAGATTATTTAAAGATTTCAAGGTTATTAAAATACCTAAGGACGTATCTCATTGATATGCACACCACAAATTCTCTATTTTTTATTTTAAATTGTAATACATCATTTATTTAAAAAATAACTCGGCGAAAACGTGTTTGCGACTCGAAATCAGTGTTATCGGAGCGCCTTGGGGTCTCCGACTCCCCAGTGCACTCGGGGCTCCGTCTGGCGTATCTGATATGTTGCAATTCTATCTTTTACATGATCTATGCAATAGTTATATCGTAACAGAATTGAATAGAGTTTGTACACAATCTTTTAATTATTGACAAACGATATTATTAGCGTAACAATCACCAAATTGCATAGTTTTAATTAACCGCATAACGTAAATGAAACGTTTGAAGTAACATGGAAGAACGTAAAGAACTTATTGTTTGTGTACCAGGTAAATGAAACACGAAGAATGTTAAAATTAAAATGAAAATTGAAAATCTATTGTTTTGTGGCAGGCCAAAGATTATGCATCTCTGATAAAATAAACATATGTGGACCTGGAACTTACGAACAACAAGGTTATATTTATTCGAAACTTGCAGGTGTAGTTAAGTTAATACCACAAGAAAATGTAAAGATGAAGATTATTTATCACAAAGTTGATGTATTTTTAGACGATATAATATAATTATTTGATTAATATTTTGTATTTTAGTCTCGCACTATAGAAGTACATGGAATTACAGAACAAAGTATTGTTCCAGCACCTGGTGACATTATAACAGCGATGGTGACTCTTGTCAATCAAAGATTTTGTAAATGTAGCATAAAATGTGTTGGTGATATTGTACTGACAAGACCTTACAGGGGAATTTTGAGGAAAGAAGATGTTCGTGCAATGGACAAAAATAATATCCAAATGTATAAGTGTTTTAGGCCTGGAGATATTATTCTTGCCAGAGTTGTATCCTTATTGTCCTATCTTATAAATGAAATCCATTGTCAATTATGGAAACACAAATTTTGTACAATTTCCTATATAATTGTTAGATGCCAATGACAGAAGCACATGTTTATCAACTAAGTACAGCAGAAAATGAATTAGGTGTAGTTATAGCACAAAGTGAAGAAGGTGAGACATTAAAAATAAACTGTGTTTCTGTTACTAATAACCATTATGTTACAGGTGTGGCTATGATACCTATAAGTTGGACTCAAATGCAATGTCCTAAAACATTACATAAAGAATTTCGAAAAGTAGCAAAGGTTGTTCCAGAGCATGTCATGGAACAATAATGTAACATACAAAAATCTTTATTTTACTACCAAATAATAAGATACATCTATATTTATTATGATATATTAGTGGAAATTATTACTGAAATCCGATCTCGCATTAACGGCATACGATTTCGAATCTCAACTGCCTGGGCGTTTTTATTTTTCGACCTATGTAAACTCCGTGATCATATTTTAACTATTGAAAAAAAAGAAATTAATTTTACATGTAATTAATAAGTTATAAACGATTACTGGAAACGGTTCTTATTTCAATATTGCGCTAAAAACTACTATGGGGATTTCCCCGTAAGGTTGTTCGTGGTGGCGCTTCGGTCGCGCTGGTTGTAACGACCGCGTGGGAGATTAGGCTCCCGTCTGTTGCCCACGTAAGACGGTTTCACGTTTTGTTCCCGCATCGCAATATATAGTTTTATTGAAGAAAGTGGAAGTCTAATTTCTTTCCCACACGGGTACCTCCGATCCCTTCGATTGAAAAAAGGACGAGTAAAAAAGAAACATTTAATAAATGACTTTTAAAACCTCGTTGTAGTTTTGTATTAAATGTACCGTAGTATTTAAATCTTAACTTTAGGTAATTGAACTTTGATCACAGGATGTTGTATTATCTTTCGTTAATTCCCACTTATTAATTTATATAATAATTTTTTTCGTTAAAATACATTTATGGAATTTCGAATCCATCGTTGCGTGTATCTTGCTTGTTTACTATAATGTTTTATCTGCGCATTATCTCATTTCCTAATGATTAGTTTCATGCATGAATATTGCAAGCGTGTAATAATAGTCGCGAACGAAAACATTTGTATAATTTGTATGAAACTATCGAACTTTATTGTATATTTAGAGTATAATATTTTAAATTCATTATTTTTAAATATAAATCGTTACTACTGTTATCAATTGACAACATAGCATTCTAATTTATTGATAATTGTATATCATTCTACAGTGTACAAAAAAAAAAAGTAAATTCATTGAAATGTTTAAAGTGATTGATATCTGCAATGTATGTAAATTTTCATTAAAAAATCTAAGAACGTTTAGCAATTTTGTAAAATTAGTTGAAGTTGGACCACGAGATGGATTACAAAACGAGAAGAATAATGTGCCAACAGAGATTAAAATTGACTTGATTGATAAATTATCAGAAAGCGGATTAAAGAGCATAGAAGTGACCAGTTTTGTCTCACCAAAATGGATTCCACAAATGGCAGATAATGCTCAAGTCTTTCAAAAGATTAACAAGAAACCTGGCATTTCTTATCCTGTATTGGTACCAAATTTGAAAGGTTTAGAAGATGCACTGAAAGTAGGTGTAAAAGAAATAGCTGTTTTTGGCGCTGCATCCGAATCATTTTCAAAAAAAAATATTAACTGTTCCATCGATGACAGTATGAAGAACATTAAAACAGTCATCGAGGAAGCAAGTAAACAAAACGTTAGAATCAGAGGTTATGTATCTTGCATTGTTGGATGCCCTTATGAAGGCGAAATTAAGCCAACAGTGGTAGCCAATATAAGTGCATTCATGTTACAACTTGGATGCTATGAAGTTTCTTTAGGAGACACCATTGGTGTAGGATCTCCTAATAAAATAAACAAAGTACTGCACGAATTAAAATATGTCTTAAACGACCTGAATAAATTTGCAATTCATTGTCACGATACCTACGGACAGGCTCTAGTAAACATTTATACTAGCCTCGAAAATGGTATAAGGGTATTCGATTCGTCCGTGGCTGGATTAGGCGGTTGCCCATATGCAGCTGGTGCTTCTGGAAATGTTGCTACCGAAGACCTACTTTATTTTTTGCATGGACAAGGTTTAGAAACTGGAGTGGACCTTAATCAAATAGTAAACATCGGAGATTTTATCAGTAGTCAGCTTCAAAGGAAGAATCAGTCCAAAGCAGGTGTTGCAATTCTTGCAAAGGAATGTCTGAAAAAATATATGTAATTGTATAGTTTTGGAAAATATTGGGGCCAATAAAGTACATGAATTTCATACATGTTCGTCATTTGCGATTAATAAACTATTTGGTATCGGAAAAAGTTCGTACGGAATTACGTGTTGTGCTTCGCTTACTTGAAGTCCCGCGGGACGACACAGAGCGCAGGCGCAAGAGGAGTCGAACCGCCCATTTATCTATCTCGCTCAGTTGCTCTCAGGCAGTCCACATGTGCGTGTGTAACTGCCGTGACGAATAGCGAGCTAAAGATCAATGTGTACGTGGAAATAGGTGTATCGTGTGTCCCTTCTACTTTTTCTTTCGCGAGACTTCAAGTCAGCGAAGTATAGTACAAAGTTGAATGCGATTTTTTAAGGCGTCCATTCAACGAGAACACATAATAATTTGAATAATTAAAAGTTCAGTACTTATTAAATTTTAATGACTCTTCAAATCTCGTATACACAATTTATAGAAATATAGCATAACAATCAATGACACTATGCAATAATACTTTCAAATTTCGTGAGCTACGTTCTTTGCGATATGAAAAAAATACATGCGAAGCCGGCTGTATTAGAGAAAATACATTATAATACATCATGATAACAGAGGGACGCGCAGGATTTGATTCATACTCCCACGTTGAACCTATGTTACGAAATATTTGATAATTCTTGTAATATAGCCTGTGTATCTAACGCACTTAAATCTATCGATCCCCTGGTGTCGATTACGACTCCTGTTACCTGAAAATTAATACAAATATGTATAGAGCCAACGTATCACGTCCACGCTTTCGTGTATTGATCGAAACATTACCATTTCTTCAAAAAATGTAACGTGATCTGGTTTCTCGGAATATCTTTCGTATTGATCCAAATTGTCTTGTAATTTTAACGTAAGACTGTCGTAATTCTGTATTATGATCGCTAAAATTTGTTGTTCCGTTGGCGTGGACAAACTTTCGCTGGCCAGCCATGCTGTTATTTTTGGTGGAAAGTGATTCCCTATGTCTCTCATGTTCACCAAACAATTTGTTAATTTTAATGCGTGTTCTTTATACTCGTAAGATTCGCACGTTGAATATCGGAGCGCTTGAACGTATAAATTTTATTTTCACTACCCGTCATTACTCAATTTATGTTAAACAATAACAACAGAAAAGGTCATTTGTTATCTACATACCCATGGCATTCAGATTTGTAAAAATAAGCCTCATTCTTATTATTTCGTAAAACAATTCGTCGTAACTACTCGGAGAAGGTAGTAACGCATCTCCGTGCGTGATAAACAAATTTAAGATATTAACGACCTACGAAATTTAAATTGATTCCTTTAATCTGTACTTATTTTCGTTTCTGTCGATATAAATTTACCTCGATAGCTAACGGAAAGATATTCATCTTTTTAATAAGATGGCTTTCGTGCGTTGTTAGAAACTTAAGTAAATTGATTAACGCCGTCCAAAGATCCCTCCATTGATAACCAAGCTTAACCCTGCATCTCTTTTGGTAACAAAGCAACCTTTGTAAAACCCCAATGCATTGATGGTAAAGTTCAAGAGGAAATTTTTTCATCATGTGCGATGTAATAAACTCGACAAGTAGATCTACAATTTCACAAAAATTATTATACCGTGCCAAACCGAATTCATTTATATAAAAAAAAAATAACGAACGCGTATGTTAGATATGTAAAATATTAAATATCACGCGACGTGTATTTGTTACTCTAATTTTTTACGTTAGTCACGACAAACTATGTCTTGACCCTGTACAGGTATAAAATTGAAATGCATAATAAACTGTACCGAGTAACGTAGCAGCCAAAGGTTGTGCAGGCGCTACTTTGTCTTGTATCTTTCTATGATGCATCGGTACTCGATGGAGTTGCACTCTGAAAGCCAGGTTTGCGTCGTGCATCAAACTATTCGCGTACTGATCCTCCGCGATGCAGCTTAATATGAGGAAGCACAATTTAACATTATTCATTATTGCTTCTGTTCTGATCACCTGCATGACTATCGAACTGAAACAGCAAAAGCATTTCATTCGTGAAATTCAACGCAATCGTCTGTGCAGATGAATGTCGTGTATAATTTAAGGAATGTAGCGTTTCCCACCAATACTGTAAAAATGTAGCCAGTAAATTGAATGGTTGAGCCATCACGTCGGGTATTTGAGCTCCGGGGGCTACCACGTTTGGTCCCAAGGTATTATTTGGAGATGGAGGGGCACAGGTATCGCTCTGCGTGTACGCTAAAGTTGTTACAAAATTCCGATTTAAATGAGTCGCTTCGTAAAGTGCTAACAACAACGCATTATTCGCGCGAACTTGTTGCGTTTTCGCTTCCTCCTCTCCGACGAACATACTTCCTACTATACTGGTCAGGGAAGATAGCCAAGATGCTTGTATTTCTGCATGCAAATGTTTTTCATTATTGCATTTATAATAAATGACGTAATAAAAAAAGGTTCGTATAAACATTATACAGAGTAAGTTCTGTTTCTGTACCTGCTCTTTGTTGAGCAAATTGTCTGCAAAACTCCGTCAATGAACTCGATATCACTTGGCCGTATCCATTTAGAGCTAGTTCGTCATCTAAAATCGATAACTTAACGATATAAGGATTTGCTCTTTCGTGCTTCCTATAATTGACCAGAAGTGTTAATAGTAATACTGCGTCATGGCCATGACGGCTTCTAGCTGCGGTATCTCTTAACAACTGTACAAAAAGGAAATACGAAATGTTAATGCCTGATTTAAACCATGCTCCTGACCATTTTATTAATACTCATACCAATTTTGACACCTACTTGAACCAGAGATTCAAAAACACTATTAAGCATAACATATTCCAACAAAGTGTTTTGACTAACATTATCCATGCCAGTTACAATAATTAATAATAATTTCAAGCACAAAGCTTTTAAGCTATCAGGGTATTCACCTGGAATTACAGAAAATTATAATAAACAACTTTTTTAGAAAAATACTGTGAAAAATTCAAATATTAAATGTATATTTGAATCTTTGATTTCTTAACCCTTAGACGCGACTCTGGCTCCCCTATTCTTTAATTGTATGGTATAGTTACATGCTTTTAATTTATCTTGAATTTATTTAAATATTTTAGGTCTGGGATAGGGTTGCATACTTTGCATAGAAAATAGTTGCATGACCATCCAAGGGTTAATACAAGTGAATTCTTTAAAATACATACAATATGTGTTGTAAAATGTACCTGTTAAAAAATTATTACAGTGTTGCATTAATGTAGTCATCCTTTGTTCCGCGGAATCAAATCCTACTAGAATATCTATCAAATTAAATCCACAGTCGCCTTGACTAGCCTTCTTATACATAGATTGAATAACAGCTGCTAAAGTTTGTAAAGCATATACAACTCTGAATGGATGTTCGTCGACTAACGTGTCCACGCAATGACAGACTAAGGCATTCAAGTTTTCTTTGCTTGCATTTAATTGTTCTGATGTCATATGCAAAATTTCACTCTCGATATGTGGAACCTAAATAAATCAAAAGAGAACATATTTTCGTTTACTTCGCGGAAAAGTAGTTTATACTTAGTATTTAGTCACAGAGTATATAATGTATCACTACAATTCATTTGTTACTCCCTTTGACAGTTGTTTCTTTTCTGGTGAACAAGAAATGTTGGTTCACTGAGGTATTGCAATCTATTTGGTTAACTGAAAAATTCTTTTATACTGAACAATGATACCACTGACTAATGATTTCATGTTTTAAAACTTTGTGTATTAATAAAATACCATCATGATTGGTAAATTTGTTACTAAATTTATACAAGTAAGTTTTAAGATTTCTGCAATGTTTTACAAAGGTGCTATCATGGTTGAACATTTATATGAAATACATTGTATAATCTTACAGTCATTGCCATCATGGGAAGTAACAAAATATTACGGAAGAGTATGTATGTATCAATTAAAATGTTTGAAATATAGAGTTCAGACAAGCGAAGCATGGTTTAACTTCAGATGCAAATTTATGCCAGGTAGTCTTCAGAATGAACTAGAATGCAAGGAAGCTGTTCAACCTAAAAGTACGCATTATAATAAAAAGGAAATGAACACTTTCCAACGATTTTTTAACTTGTTAATCAACGTGCGCTTCCGCCGTTTCATTCCATGTATCATTTAGACAAGGACAACCAATCTAAACAAGAAATACTACAGAAAGAAAAACAGCCTCCCGAAGCTTCATTTAATAGCGTAAAAAGTCCTTATATTGCCAGCGAATTTGTAGCAACTGCAAAGACAAAGAAACCTCAAGAGAATGAAAAGTATCAAGAAAATGAGAATTACTCTTTCCGCGAAAATTATCCAAGAAAGAAACAGCAAAAGGTATAATCGAGCTACAGCTTTTAAACCTTTGACCGAGAATGAGTATCGTGCAAGTACATGTTGCGTGATGCAAATAGTGCTATTTTTCTCAACAAATTTATCCAAAACAGATGAAACATGTTCAGTAATGAAAACAGCAAACAAAAGACCCGAAGAACTTCCAGACTTCAATTTATACTATATCAACCCTTTATTATAAACTGTGAAATCTTTTTAAAAATGTATATCTTTTATAGATTTATTACTTATATTTATATAATAAAATAAAATCTGATATACAATAAAAGCAACGTATAACAAAATTACTGACCATAGGTTTGATTAAGAATAGTTCGTTCCAAAAATTTGGATGTGCTAACGTCAAATCTTCTCCTTTGAAGAAACTTTCATATATTGGTACGAGCTTTCCTTTATGCTGTCGTTTGGAGCCTGATACGCTCCGTTTTCTCATTGCCATTGCCATAATGGTTTATTCGTTTTATTTCATTTTCTTTGCCTGTAAATTCATTTTCAAATTACAACAATTTCTAGTATTATAAATCGCTTATGTTACACAACTATAAATAACGATCGTAAACATATTTCCAACAATAAGTAACGTATTTAAACAACGATGCTTAATATTATTCGGAATTTTTATTTGAAATGCGTAACAATTATCTACCATAACCTCTGTGCTGCATTGTAAATTATTTTACACGAACGAATAAGAATTTATCTATTAAAATTATTGTAAAATTGTAATTCCAGAAGAATATAAAAATTCTTAAAAATATGAGAGAAACAAGTAATAAATATTTACTCACTAGTAAAGTAAGTAATTCATTGACATCGTATAAAAGGTTCTTTTAAGTATTCGGGAAATAGTTTTAAGCGTTCTTTTAAGTATTACTATTCGTTGTGCTTGAGTTTTTTAACAGATTTCATTGAAAAATCGCCGAATGCTGAAAAAAGGAAAATAATAATAATAGAAAGAATTACAAAAACACCATTGCACGAGAATGACAGGAAGCCATTATCGAAGAAATAATTGATAACCATTTCATATTTATTAAGTAATGTCCGTTCGAAAAAATTCCGTTAAAATAAACTCAAAAGAATAGATAACGATATTAACTTGGATAAATTATGTAACGTGCAGTTTTGGAACCAAACGTTACAGAATACAAACAATAAAACGTGTACTTCCTCCAACTGTTACAATTAACGTGTGTTTTAATACCGGTATTGCATTGTTTTCGTTATTAAAACAGATTTAAGAATTTGGCGCCATGATTTCACATTCGACAATTCTACATCATCTGAGGAACAAGTATGTTTGTTACTTTAACCCTTAGACGATTGCGCAGGGTTTGTTAGAAACTCCGATATCATTATTTTATTAATCACTCATTGACTTAAGTTAATTATCATTTACCGTTTTAAATAATCTTCTTCAATTACTTTAATCTTATGCCGCTATTACATATTTTTATTACTTTTAATAAGCTGAGACTAAATAATTTAAGTCTTAGGGTTGATTAAAAATCTCCCGCAATGCTTTACGTATTTCATACATTGTATATTGACTTGAAGATGATAAATTATATTTACACAGGTCAAATTAAATAGACACATATGTTTTTAATTACGTATTCACGAAACGCGTAAAACTATACGTATTTCTCAAATAAAATGGCCATAACACGATATTTTTTAATAAACAATTCATTAATTTGTCATCTAACAAATAATTTTTCTCATTGGGGCCTATAATAAACCTAATTGCGTACTTTACATGGATTAAAATCGCGCTGCGTTTAAGGGCCAAAGTACATCGTTATTTTACTACAATATTCATTATTTCAGATCTCTGTTACGAATATCAAGAATTTATGTACAGTATTATGTTAAGACATGTAGACTGTATTCGTTTTGGAATAAAAGAATTTACACAGGGGAAAATGGGTTGAAAGGCAGAGTTGTTGCAAAACACATTGGCAATTGTAGTATTGTTGCATCCGTATTATCTATATCTTATCTCTATGTGTATAAGAAGACAGATGAACCTAAGAAGACAAATGTACAATGTGGAGAGTTTAGGGCAGATTTAAAAACTTACACTTTAGAAGAAGTAAGCAAACACGATAATAAAGAAGCTAGTGTATGGGTGACATTTAAACAAGGGGTATATGACATAACAGATTTTATTGAGAAACATCCAGGTGGTCCTTCTAAAATAATAATGGCAGCTGGTAGTTCTGTCGAACCATTTTGGGGAATCTTTGCTAATCATAACATACCAGAAATATATAAGCTGCTCGAAACAATGAGAATTGGAAACATTTCTAAAGAAGATTCAGTTTCCAATAAAGATAATCAAAATGATCCATACGCGACAGAACCGACTAGACACAAAGCTCTAAAAATTAATGGGCATAAACCCTTTTGCGCTGAACCACCTCCTTCTTTATTAGTTGAAAGCTTCATTACACCAACGTAATTATAAAACTCTTGAACGTGATTCTTAAGCATTTTGTTTGCTGACAAAAATTGTACCCAAATATTGCTTTGTTCTAGAGAATTATTTTATGTTAGAAATCATCTTCCTGTTCCCGAAATAGACATGAAAACTTATACTTTGGAGTTAGCTGTAGAAGAAACAACACAAAAAACCTTCACTTTTGAAGACATAAAAAAATATCCAAAGTATACAATAACAAGTGCTGTAATGTGTGGTGGGAATAGACGGTCTGAAATGGCGCAGGTAAATCGGGCTCGCTTTGTTCTGATAACAAAAGAAAAACGTAATTATACTCGTCAACTTCTTATAGGAGAAACAATTAAAAGGGCTTAGTTGGGGCGTAGGTGCTGTCGGTAATGCCACGTGGACCGGTGCAAGATTATGCGACATACTAAAAGATTTAGAAATCAATGAAAATGATTATAATCATGTACAGGTATTACATATTATGATGCTTTACATGCGATGTTCTGTAATTAGGTTGTATTACGAATTATGGAACGTCTTATATACAGAGCAAGGCACTTAAAACAAGCAACTTGAACAGCTTGTCTACTTTTAGTGATAGAATAAAATTTCCCCCTTCAAACCAAATAAGATTGGTTTAATAGACTTTTTCAGACGGTCTGTTTTAAACGCCGTGCCCTATATACACAATATACATTTACTAAAAATATATTAACGAGCAATAATCCATTAAAAATTAAATAATTTAATGAAATCAGTTTGAAGCATATGATTTAGATCCTTCTGGTTCACCATACAGTGCAAGTATACCTATTAGTAAGGCTATGGATCCCAGAGCAGATGTAATCTTAGCTTATGAAATGAATGGACAACCAATTCCAAGGGACCATGGGTTTCCCATTCGAGTAATTGTCCCTGGCGTTGTTGGGGCTAGAAACGTAAAGTGGCTTGGTAATAAAATAAAAAGGTTCACCTTTCTAATTAAACATAGTACACTTTTGTTACCTATGTTATTAACTCGCAGGCAAAATGATCATCTCAACCGAAGAAAGCCATTCGCAATGGCAACGAGGCGATTATAAAGGTTTTTCACCTAGCGTCGATTGGGATAACGTAGATTTTTCTAAAGCACCCGCTATACAGGAAATGCCTGTGATTTCCGCAATTTGCACACCGGAACCGTTGGAAACGGTCAAAGTAAAAAATGGAAAGATAAATGTTAAAGGTAAAACGTTAAATTCGTTTCCAAAGCGTTCGATGGACATAATCGATTTCACGATTCGATCAAATTTCTCGATAGGATACGCATGGTCGGGAGGTGGTCGGAAAATAATTCGAGTCGATATAACGAACGATCAAGGTACAACTTGGCAAACAGCTGATTTAGTTGCGGAAGACACGAGTGCTAAACAGGGTCGTTACTGGAGTTGGACATTATGGAACGCAGAAATTCCTGTGAAAAAAGAGCACAAAGAAACAGAAATTTGGGTGAAAGCTGTGGACGCGTCGTACAATGTCCAGCCAGAAAGTTTCAAAAATATCTGGAATCTACGAGGTTTCCTTTGTAATGCATATCACAGGGTTAAAGTTAAATTGGAACACTGAATTTCCAAAAACAATTTAATATTATATAAATATTACTAATGTAAAATTTGCTCGTTTCGTTTTTATGATTGCTTTATTACAAAACAATAAGTAATGTATATGTACAATTAAATCTTAATCTCTTTCACAAATTAAATTTACTTTTTTGATTAAATTATAAATTAATTGGTTTATCCTCAAACAGCTACTTTCGAAATATGCGCTTCCCCAGCTTTGTTATTTTCATCATTAAAATAGTTGTATATACTTTCTAAAGGTATTTCATGATATGCTGAGTCACTTACATTATGGATTTCGAATAATGGTGGTATCTGCATGGCTCTCTTACCAACTACAATAACATAAGGGAATCCAATTTGTCGAGCATATATAAGACGACTTCCAATAGTTAATTTTGTCCTATCATCGAGTATAGTATCAATATTCAATTGATTTAAAATAGTTAGTATTTGGTCCACGTACTCAGATGCAGTATCTTCCTTGCTACCAGCCTGTGAAGTCACAATGTTTTTAACACTTACAAAAAAGTATTGGTATAAAATGTAATACCTTTGGAGGTATAATGCACACGGTATAAGGCGCTAAACCGTTTGGCCATCTTAGTTCGTCTTCGATGGACAATGCTTCGGCCGCGATAGTAAAGATGCGACTCAAACCAAGTCCAAAAGAACCCATTGCCAATGGCAATAATTTGTTGTTGTGTGATTTATATAAAGCTTTTAGAGGTTTTGTGTATTTTGTATCTAGCAAAAACGTATGACCCACCTTGAATTAAACAAGAATAATCACTGGAGAAGTAATTCTCATATCAATGTATACCTATCCTATTACCTCTGCAGAGTGTTGTTCAAGAAATTTGTTCTTACATTGAGGACAATGCGATTCTTCGCATATGGTTTTGTTAATAGAGTATTGGCAAGATGAACATACATAAATAATATCTTCTCCAATATTGCTTATATAATGATACTCATGGGATAGCAAACCTCCAACTGATCCTGTATCACCAACAGCTGCAAACAATAATATTACAGACTTATGGTTATAATGTGATGACATATAATAACTAAATATACACGAAATTAAAGTGACATCCCTATTTTAATTCGTTTGTTATACAGTACTATTTAAATTATTACCTTTTCTAAATGTTATGCCTATTTTTTGAAATACATTATCATATGCGTCACATACTAACTCGTAAGTATTCTTTGCATCATCCAGAGTTTTATCGAACGTATATAAATCCTTCATGACAAACTCTTTGCTTCTAAGAAATCCAAGACGAGGTTTCATCTCATCTCTCCATTTATTAGAAATTTGATATAATTTTAAGGGTAAAAGCTTCGGAGACAGAACACCAACAGATGATATTAAATCACAAATTGTTTCTTCGTACGACTGCAATAAAACAGATCTAAATTTTATTTAAAGTACACGCATAGTTACATAAATAAAAACAGATACTACTTTACTATTAAATTTAATAATTCCTTTCAATTGTTTAGCCGTCATTTGTTACTCACTGGACTAAGTATATATTCTTTCCTGTGTCTATCTTCTATTTTAAATAATTCAGTCTTACTGTTTTCAAATCTGTCCGTTTGTTTCCATAAACTTTTAGAGGTTAAAGCCGGGAGCATTAATTTTTGTGCTCCTAACCTCTCCATTTCATGATCAACAAGATTTATCAATTTATTTAAGACACGCAATCCCAGAGGTAGAAATGCATACATTCCATTATTAACTGGTTTGATTAATCCATAGTTGATCAAATTCTATAACGAGTAATTCAACAATTTATCAAATAATAAATACAAACAAAAAATGAACAGTACATAAATATTTGTATACTTTGTAAGTTTTCGTAATATTTATTGTTTTTTTAATAGAGGAATGCGAGTTATTCAACGGTTGAAACAAGTTTGATACTCTATGTACATTACGAAATGGTATGTTAGCCATTTTCAAGAAATCAAGTATCAAGTTCGCACAGGACTGCAGTGTTTAAACACATTCACACATGTATGCAAAAGTGTATTCGTTTCGATCGAGAAAGGGGAATATGATATGTGTATTCCCCTCCAACGACAAGAATTGAAGGGCACTGTTTACACTCAGCACATAAACAATTTTCTGTACTATACAAATCGCAGTAAAAAGCGTAAGGAATAAATGACTAATTGTTGTAGTCTATAATCTATAATTGTAATGTCGCCATAACCCTAGGCCGTGCCTAGAGAGGTCCTGGCATTCTTTTTTGTACTGCTACGAGAAACGTATCTCTCGCACTGTGCATAAAGGTTATTGTTCTCGTTGAACAATAATTCTTCTAATGATTCTAATGATTCTTTAATATCCTAACCACACGCTTCCCTATACGTGTAGAGTAAGCTACTGGCAAAGACCAAAGACCACAACAAAAGGTCTGTTAGCTTATCCACTCTTATCATAATAGTATGACGTCACAAAAATCAACTTTATTTAAAACAAATGACGCATTTTCTAATTTTTTATATGGACACAAAACTTTACTTTTATTCATTTGCATTTAGCAAGTTAAATAACGTTTAAGTAATAATATATATGCGTATACAATACAAATATATACACATTCCGAAAAAGTAAGAAAAGTATTAGGATTTTTATTAGGAAATTCCAATAAAACTTATTTCGATTAAATGTATTGTGTTTTGAAAACATCAATATTATTTAAATTTCAATGGGAAAGAAAAGATTTCATGTGCACCGACCTAATGATTCAGGAGCGGAAGAAGAACAGTACAGTCGGTGAAAAGGGGAACGCAATTAAATTATTGATAGTACCCGTTTGGTATTTATGGAATTTTACAAAACAGCGAATATCCTTATGTTAGTGGTGTGGCTGAATATACGAATGAACACGCATTTCTCGTAATATCACTTTGTGCGAAATGATCAAAGGGTTCCTGCGAAATGATTAATAGATCGACCGAGAATAACTGGATTGTGGACATATGATCCCAGTAATCGTCTATGAGGTGTGATCTCATTTTCTGGTATATTATTCGTTCAGCAGTGAAAAGACTCGTTTTTACAGTTAATGAAATATTTCAATTGTTTATATTCCCTTGTAATTGTCACAAGATTTTTTTACTAAATCACAGAATTAAACAATGTTGTCGACATTATGTAATGAATGACAGCTATCAAATTTTGTTGAATACAACTTTCAAATGCAAGGGAACATCAACACAATTAATTATTTTGTATCATTTAATTGAACGAATATTACGAATTTGTTTCTAAGTACATGTATTTTAGCTGTTTTAAAAAGGCTACAATTACAGTTGCAAAAAATGGTGTTACAGTTATACGTATGTGCATAGAATTTAGAAATGGCAACAGGAGGTAGTAGTTTTATAAGTAAACCAGCCAGAGGATGGTTACACCCTGATCATTTAGTGAGCAAAGAAGGAATTACTTACACGGTTAAGGTAAGTTTTTTATATTGTATAATGAAATTCAATATCTCAGTAATCAGAGAATGAAATTTAATCGAATCTATTTGTTATGAATTTCAGTACATAGGATGTCTCGAAGTATACACATCTATGAAAAGCTTAGATTTTGAAACAAGATCATGTGTTGCCAAGTAAGTTTTCCAATGTATGCTCAATACGTGTACTTTTTGAAGATTTACATGTGGTCTATAAAAAAATTATTTTTCCAGAGAATGTATAAACAGAGTTTGTGAAGCAGCCGGATTAAAATCTGCGGATAAAAAAAGAAGGGTATTACCTAATTATAATATGCAGCTTTTCAATAAAAATATTGTCTAATATGGTTGTAAGAACAAAAGATCACATTATTTTTATCATGTTCAAAATTTCTATTGTACTACTAATTATTTTTGTTTTTAAGGTTTATCTTTAAGAAAGGGCTGCTATAGCCAATATGTTGTGCAGTAAATTGATAAACTTTTGTTGTTTACAACTATGTAACATTATTAATAATGTTAAACTTGTAGTCCCTTGTACTTTAAGCGGTACATGTTTTATGTACATTACCCAGGTGGATAGAAAAGTGCTGAGGGCAATAGCAGATAAGCCACGTATGGAGCATACAGGTGCTACTATAAATTTGACTATTAGCAGTTGCAGTTTAGCTTTGACTAACATAGAGACTGGTCACATCATTGCCAAACATGAAATGCCACGTATATCTTTTGCTTCGGGCGGAGATACGGTAAACTATATTTCATGTAACAATTTAAAAAAATTTATTTTTATATAGTCTTAAAATATAAAATAACTGATTATATCAACAGGAAATACTGGATTTCGTTGCATATGTTGCAAAGAATATGCAAGAATGGCGCGCTTGTTATGTGTTAGAATGTGGAGGAGGATTGGCACAAGATGTTATTTCTACTATTGGACAAGCTTTCGAATTACGATTTAAAGAATTCCTGACGAAACCAGCTTCATTACAGTAATTATAATTCTTATTTCGGTATTGTGTATTGTAATTTTTACATTTTACTCATTCTATGTTTTTTCTTTCTCTACAGTCCTATGTTAAATGGTATGCGCGAAGCGGATAGAGATTATTACAATGATCTGCCTGGCAAAGTACCACCAGACATTGGCCCCCCACCAGTGCCCCCCTTGCCAACTGCATCAACGTTACCCAATTTGAAACATCATCATTCTGGACAAAATCATACATCGCGAAGCAACGCACAAAACTCTATATTACATGACTCATTTTCTCCTAATTCTGATAGGCATCACCAGCAATGGGCAGGTAATATTCATTTATTTTTTTTGTTATAATCAGAAATTCGTATAATTATAATATTATAATTATATTATAAATTTGATCACTATTGCAGAAACTGGTAATTTAATTGACTTAAATTCTGATGGAACGTCTACTACAAACTTCAATATAGCTCCTGAACATAATTATGTGAATGATAGTGTTATAGCAGCAAGCAGAGAAAGCCATCGCGATCAAACATCACTCTTTGATGTATTTGACATGCGTAAGTAACTTTCAGCATTCGCAATATAAGATTTTTTTGCATAATAATATATCATTTTCAGAGCCATTTAGTTCTGCAATATCAGATATGAATAGATTAAGTCCACATTCTCAGAAGCAACAATTAAAACAAGAAATATGGTTTCACGGCAGTGTTAGTCGTGCTGAAGCTGAATCTATGTTGACAAGAGTAAGTAAGATGATAAATAATAACTATATAAATTTACGTATATAAAAATCCAAGTATTATTTGATATGTGATTTCGATAGGATGGTGATTTCTTGGTTCGTGAATCTCAGGGCTCGCCTGGCCAATATGTCCTTACTGGTATGAATAATGGTACACCAAAACATTTATTATTAATTGATCCCCTAGGCGTAGTAAGTATTCCGGAAAAAAATTATACTCTGATAATGCAAGATATTTAATCTTTACTATCAAACGAAAAAATACTTATAATTTACTTTAATTACAGGTCCGCACAAAAGATCGTGTTTTTGATAGTGTAAGTCATTTAGTAAATCATCATTGTGACAATGTATTACCAATTATATCAGCAGATAGTGTTTTAGTACTTCGATATCCAATTCCTAGACGTACAAATAATTGATTTTTATATAATTACAATAGTATCAAAAAAAAAAGCAAAGTTTACGTTTGGTATTAGTTCATTGCATTAATATATAAAGTAAAAAAGAATCGATGCCTGATACATATGATGCTTTCAATAATAATTCTAAAATCCGTCAATCAGTATAAGTAATGAAAACAATTAAAATTCTATGCAATGAGTATTTACTTCCAAATTATATTTATGCTGAAAGATAATCTGAAGTTTTCCTCTATATTCTTATTAAAATGAAATATTATTAACATCTTATGAAGAAAAAAAAAAAGGTTAATAAATGTCATTTTACTATTGATAATGTCAAAATGCACAAAGGGAAATTATATTTATAATTTTTCGAATTATTATGACTTATTAAAATTGATTAATGCATAAAATTTATATGTGTAAATTGTTTCGGTAAACAATTATATCTGTGAACGACGTATGTATAAAATACCGGAATTTGAATTATTCTCCACGTATAATTTATTAATTTAAGTTCATTTTACTGTTTTAAGTAATTTTCGTATAATGTTAGACAGAAATTTGTAATGTAATGGATTGATTTTTGAATACGTCTAAGCATGTAAGAACTTTAAATTATTTAAAAATTATAATATTATGGAATTATAATACCATAAAAGTTAAAAAACATTCGATTTATCAAAATATTTGAACGCTACATTTTTCAAATATACAGAAATTTTTAAAAGATTGATGAAATCTTGTACTCGTTATAATGTAATAATCTAAACCAAATATCATAATTTAATTTGATCGATTATAAGTACTACTTGCATTTCTCAGTCATTCGTATACACAAATTTGAAGGTGCACTTTGTAACAAAAGCATAAGACTTGCGATTCATTAATTATTGCGTTTTGTAATCCTTGCCCTTATCTTTCAAATAATTTTTAATGATCCTACAGTTTTGTCACAAAGTGTAAATTTTCATGGGTTAATATATACATCCTAAAGCGTGCCACAATTTTCTAGTAACAGTTCAGTACTTATTACTGAATAGAATAGAACTATATCTTTAATTTTGTATGTAATTTGTACCATGTAGACCATAGCTAACATGAGAAATGTTATTGTAATTTTATTAATTTCGTGTCATAGGACTCGCACTATGATTAATGTGCAAAGATATATACTTATATATTTTTACGAATTTTGTAATTTTCGCGCTGTATATTTTGATTCCATATTTACAAGATAATCAGCATATGTAACCTCAATTTTAATAGAATGGACATATTTCATATTGCTTTGTATCTAAAAATATATTAATGAAATCTAATTTTGTATTCCGTGTATTTGTTTCCAAAAATATTTAATTATATTTCCCAAAAACTGACTTTTGTATTACGAATGTTTTTATAAAATACAACTTGTTAAATAATTTTAAAAAATCCTTTGTTGTCGCATTATTTAATTCGGTTATTTCTCAATATTACAACAGCCTCCCGAAGGGGGGGCCCATAGGTAATGTCGTACTTTACCGGCTAAAATTTCATGGTGACGATTCTCAGATGCCTTGGCATGGGACCGGGAACTCTATTGAGATATCACAGGTATGTTTGATAACACTGATAACACTAACAACACTAATATTATTTAAAAATTTTTAAATTCCACGGAGATGCATTTAGCGCAATACTACCAGTTTACGCGCGCGACCGTTACTGACGCAGGGTTCTCGCGTGCGCGTGCACATATGCGCGGCGTGCGGCGCGCGCTGAACCGATTGAAATTTAAAAAGTGCACCCGGAAATTAGACTTACGAATTACAACTGCCAATATCTTCTAAATAAAGCTACAGATTGCAATATGGCAGAGGACTTTTCGATTTATATCGCCTTAAATAACTTGCCTGTTTCGATTTGTCCCATAATTTCTGGTCATCTCAATATGCAAATCTAAATCCAATTGAACACCTGTGGAACCACCTAAAAACAAAACTTGAAAGCATAAAATATAAAATATATAAAAACATAAGAACGAATTATTTGAAATATTACAATAAAAGCACCAGAGTATTAGTCCTAAAAAAACTCAGAAACTTTTGTAATCTGTGCCACAAAAAAATTTCTACTTTCATTGATTTCATATGTCAATGTAATTGAAATACAATTTTGATCGCAATGAAATATCGATACAATTTTTCTCGCAATATTTAAAGGGGCAAAAACTAATATGAATGGATCAATTGGTAACGGATACACCTTGAAGGATGCGGCAATGAACCGAGCTGGTGCGCATGACGTGTAATCTACTACTAGGAGTTACCTTCCAACCCCCGACAGACGCAAACTCGCGTTTTGCGCGTCAAAGGCACACAGATCACCATCCCTCGAATTTCGTCCTGCTAACGAGCCTCGAAAGAGGCGCCTATCGAGGGATTAGGTCTCTGAGTCGACTTCTTTGATTTCGCGCGATACATCTCGCCTGATAATCAGATATTTCGCTTTCTATCGACAAGACAGTGAAAGTTATTGATTCACATTGTGAAATACATTTCAGTGATATTCGCTGCTCTTTTTACCGCAAGGTGAGTAACGATACGCAATGCTCGCTTTTTCTTTCAAAATTTAACTAACATCGGAGCGACAACCTGATTACATATTTTATAAGAAGCAATACTTATACTGGTGTTGTTATCGTTACTTCGAGCGACACGATTGCAGCGACTCCACGTTAATTTGCAATTTTCATTATGTTTATACTAAGAATTGTAATTGTTTCAACGATTCTTATCAACTTGTATAACAGTTTTATGTTATTTCACGATTAATGTATCGAATTCAATATTTTATTATCACGATAGATCCGTGAGATTCTCGTGTTGTTATTTTACTCTGCTTGGGTTCGTCTTCGACAGAAATTATTTAACACCAATTACTGTTATTAATATTTCATGAAGTAATTTTACGTTAATTTTTCAGGGATAATATTTACAAGAAGCTTTATTTAAAAAAAAAAAGCAAAATGAAGGTGGGGTTAATGAAGAAATTTCACTGTTCCACTTTGAAACAAGGCACAGTGCTTATAGCTGTGTGTCAATTGGTAAATATAACAATCGTCGAATTATCATTGGCGTAATATTATTAGCGATGTAATATAAACGTAAAAATTGTTAATAATGATATTAGACAGGATCTGCTAGAAAAAAAAGAACACGGAAGGGTTTCGCGATGTATTTACATCTCTGATAACCACAACATGGTTTTTGAAGCATATTTATGTTTTCAAGAAATGCTCCAAAAGACCATAATTCTTTTCGTTTATTACCTTAGAAACAATGAATTTCTTGATGGATTAAAATTTCATTTTCACTTAACATTTAACTTAATATTTTTTGTGCAAATTGTTGGGATCATTGCAATTAATTTAATGCATTTTTATACTGTAGTTTATATTCATACCCGGTATGACAGTATTGGTTTTGGCATTGGAGCATGCCATGGAGGTTGAAAAAATGGTGGTCAGAGATACAGAAGACGCTCTTGCGAGAGAAGCCCTGGAAGATATATCATCTAATCATCTTAACATCAAAAAAATGGATGTGGCGTATCACAATGCTACTGGTGCTTACAGAATTTTATCTAATTATAACGTAATTGCGAATTCGGCTACGCTTTGTTTAAGGGTTCTTTTTTATATGAGCTTATATTACAGACAATTTTATACGTTTCTCGTAATCATTTGTTATAGAAATGGTTTATACGATATATTGCGGATTGAGCATTATAATGGTCCATTGTGGCTCCACTATTTTGCTCCTACACGGCGCGCTAACGGTAATCATATTTTACCTAGGAAAGAATATTTACGTTTGATTGAACAAAGTAATTTTTTGTGGTAGAACAAACGCCACCTTATGGCGCCGTGGTTGATGGTCACGATGACGATAATATCAGCGTTGACGCTATCCTTGTTCTTGGTAGAACAAGACTGTCCCTTTATTGCTGCTCTTGGCGGCAAAGCAGGCATTTACGAACGTACGCCAATAAATAATAATCCACGAAGGCAGCGTTCTGATTTGTTGAACGATAAAACGAGTAATGTTCGGGAACAAATTATCACACGACATTCGAAATTGGCGCTATAATTGATTGAATGTTTAAATTAACAAAATATATATAACTCCGATTAAATAAAACTAAAACAGTATTAATTATAGAGATCGTCACATGGTAGCCTCCGAAAGTCGATAAAGACAACGTTGAGATCACTCGTAATAGAAAAAAAAAAACAAATCAGAACTCTGCTTTATCTACAAAAGTATCAATGATTTTCTGGTAATTCTGTTATATTATTAATAAAGAAGGTTATTTTGTTAGGTATATTAGTTCTCTGGCTCATATTCTTAAGCTCTTACTTGTGGTTCGTGGTCTACAGCACTTATAAGAGCCTTGAGACGAAAAAGGGACTAACTCACGTACTTCACGGTGTGAAGAAACAGCCCATAGCATCAATGCCGTTCAAATCGCCTGTACCAGTCGTACAAATATCGAAAGCTGTTCAAACATGCGCAAATAAGCCGTTCGAGGTTTAAAGATACTCCGTGGGTGTAAGAGTAACTACGGAAAATCGGATTTATTCATTACAACGGACGTGAGTATCCATTTTATGGCGTGATTTTTACCGTTAAAAGACATTCATAAATAACATTATTTTTCTAATTTTCTAATCACCATTGAAAAGAGTTTCCGATTCAAATGATCGTAACGTTTCAGAAACTAGTAGAAGTTGAACATGTCTTTTTCGAGAAAAAGAACGGAAGGTTTAACGATGATAAAGATGGTAATTTCATGTTGGAAAAACACTGTGCATGTTGTATAACATGGCGAAGACGTTTCACTTTACAAAGCTCAAAAACAATTAGCAGTACAAAAAGCTTGCTTCATACACTACGTATGTTATTTCTTGCTCATGCATTACAATTACTTGTTGATAATTCGCGTTGTGCAATAACGATACTTTGAAACTACACTTTGAACAACAACGCACAGACTTACAATTATTCTTAAATCTGTAATGATAAAATTGCATATCGGAATGCGACGGCGCATCATACATTGTAATATATTTTTCAATTCGTTTGCTATCACGATAAACATAAAATCATTTAAATTAACAACGACGCTACATTCAACCGTTTCGGTTACAATTTTCGTATAGGCGACGGAATTATTCTCCTTCTGTAAGACTGAATCTTAATTGTTAGAACATTCCAAGGTAATCCATAAATCACGCGGTAATTTAAAAAAAAAAAAAAAAATTAAAAAAAAAAAACAAAGAAAGAAAAAGAATTAAATACATCGCTTGCAACGGGTCATCGATATTTTATTATAAATAGATACAGAGTTTGGTTTCGCAATAATTTTTATTTTATATTCAATTCAACTTCTTTATGACACTACAACCTTGATATTCTGTGGTAATATTTCAATAGTATCAACTGAATGTAGTTATGTTTTGTGTATATGTATATTAAATGTATGGAAATCATAAAAATAAAGACTATAAAACTGTAATATGTTATATATGTCTCATCGTTCATTTGGCTAATTGTCGAAGTTGTGTACAATAATTAACCAAATTGTATATTTTTATATTATTTCAAAACTTATTTATAATAAGTGATATGAAACAATTACAGGCCTGATATATTTTTCTATAATCGTAAACGAAAGGTTTATAATTCTATAAAATAAATATAAAAAGAAAAAAGAAAAAAAGATACATGATTGAATTGCGAAGCACACTTATTACAAAAAGATCACTTAATTATTTTCACATGGTATCTCCCTCAAACTATTTGTATCGATTTTAACTATAAATTTTGTAATTTAAATGTAAGAAAGATATATTTTACACAAACGCATTAAATGTAACTTTATTCTTAGTGTTCCATTTTCATTTGCAACATTTAAAAACTTGCGGCTCTATAAATAGGCATTCCAGCAATAGGCCCATATAACAAGTGAATAACAACATGTTCTAGTGTTCTTTAAAGTTCTTTTTTACAATGTATCATTTATAATTCACACACAGTGCACATATCACCAACAACAAAAATAGTACGTTTCGTTTGGTCCTCTATCATATAGAGCACGACTTTAAATAACAAACACAACAGTCACTTTTCATGTAAACTATTTACCATATCCAATGAACACTAAAACCATTGTATGAAAAGTGCACTCTCATTCGTTTGGTTAATAACCAATAAATAAACAAAAAAAAAAAAAATTGCAAAATGTGTGTGTGTGTGTGTGTGTGTGTCTCAATTCTTTGTATTTAGGAGGTTACCTCCTCCTCATCTTTCAATCACATTTTATCATCAGTTAATTCAAGGAACTGTGCATAAAAATCTCTCGTGCATTCACCTTTGTTATTGAATACAAACTTGTGATAACTACCATCTGCACATATTACTGGAACATAAGAAAAAAGCAGACAACATTCGATATCGATATATCGAAAATCAAAATACTGTTGACTGTAAAACTAACCTATAATACTATTACTGTCAGTCCCAAACGCGCACATACATTGTGAACCTCCTGGGACTTCGAATTTGCAAAAACTCCAGCTTGAACTGAAATATTTTGGCAGGAAGGTGGCGGATGCAAAACTAGATTGGCGATTCAATTTCTGATCTTTTACAGCAAAAACATGTACAGTTCCGTGATCGCTTGCTACGCATAGCCAAGTAGAATCATGATTAAAATTTATGCTGTAATTATATCAATTTAATCGATGAAACCATTTTGACAATAAAATAAAACTCTTAACTGAATTTTGTTTTTACACACCAGTAAATGTTTGCATGATGAGCACCTCTTCTCAGTTCATTAATCATATTCCCAGTTTGTGTTTCAAATACTCTTATCAATGTACCTTTCTCAGAAGCAGTGGCTAATCTGGTACCTTGTAAGCTTAAAGCTATACAAGATAAAGGTGTTTCGTGTGCTTCAATATTTAAGGGCTGTTTTTCTGTATTGGCCAAATCTATCACTATACATCATAGAAAAGTTATAAAATAAAAGGACAAAACGAAAAACAATTAAATTCTTTATGTGAAATTTTACCTTGTACGTGTCCATTTTTTCTACCAGGGAAAGCAAGCAAGGAATTACTACTATTTGGACATAATACACACAGTCCTCTGGGATTTGGATTAGTTTCAAAGACATGAAGTTGCTGAGGATTTTGCGTGAATGTGTAAACTTTTATAACACCTTCTAAAATTACTACTATCCTATCTCTTCTCAGTTTAACACCTTTCACAGGTGCATTGAATTCTAAAGTAATTGCTGGTGATTTTTTAATGTCATCCCATATCATAACTGCAAAGCATAACATAAGAAAAGTAATCCATCTGAATCCATTTATCTTATTTACTTAAAGTATTGATAACGCGTAAAAAGTTACCTTTATTAGTTGGGTACATAGGTTTAGTTCCACTACCAACTAATGCTAAATAATTACACCTAAATAGCATTTCCACATAACCCAGGCCTCCATCACTGAAATGACGTGCCTTTTCCTTTAAAGGGTCACAACTATAAACTCTGAAACCATTTTCCATACCACAAACAAAACATCCTATAAGTGGAAAGTTATACAAGTAATAATGATATTGTTATCTGCTTGTGTGTTATATATTCATCTCTTTTCTTTGTGATTACAATACAGCATTTAAAGCATTTGTGTTTCTTATTTAATGCATGCATCTGAGCAAACACAAACAAGAGTAATAAGATAAACCAATGCTATTAGATAAACATAATTATCATGAAATGTTTCATTAAATAGTGCTGTATCGCATAATATGTGCTGAAGAAAAAGTCAAGTTATGAAAACTAAATTCTCTAACAATATTAACAAAAGTTTATGTAACACTGAAGAAATTTCTATATTTAATATTACCAAAACAAATCAATGATGATGAAAATACATATTATTACAAAATAATTAGTCATATAGCTGCAAGAATAATTTAAATAATAAACAGACAATAAATAACGTATATTGTTCAAAAGTAATTTCTCGAGAAAAGTATTGCATAAATTTATTATTCAAAAATTAACAAAAAATCTACACGAAATAGGTTAGAAAATAGAAAATGATTATAAAATTTCAATTGCAATGATTTTTTAGCAAATAATATGCGAGGAAGATACGTTACTACATATTATAATAAAACTAATGATCTAAAGAAACAAAGTCATGATATATTCATACAAGGCATTGGATGCAGAGGTTAGAAGTAAAAAAATAAATTTGACAGTTCGGTCATGGACTGTCAAATGTAGCGCAGTTGGTCACATACCTTGATCCTGATTGAAACCAGCATAGAGCAAACCATTCCCGTGAGGATTACCAGTGGTTAGGTTCATTGTAAGTTATTTCTTTGATCGCAACATTCGTTCAAACAATCGTTTACTCGTGGAATTCTATCACATCTTCACCGGCAAGCATACAAGATGCATACTTTTCGTAACTACTACGAAGTTCCGCTACCATCATAGGGTCTTAACGCATGCGTGTTCGTCCGTATTAATCAGCTGATATCAAAACCGGGGTCCAGGACGCGGTCTTGCGTAGTTTTGCGGCGCTTATTTAAACAAGAAATTCCAACTAACCGTGTTTTGGTGTTGTGATTTCGTTTGGGCAATTTATTTATATCGATTCTTTTGTTCAATTATCGACTACAATTACAACGAAACTGTGAAAACAGCAAAAGATATATTTTATGGAGTCGTAACGTCCTCCCACTGATTGTGTGCGCGCAGTTTTGATATCAGAAGTTTTGTTTCTAGACCGTATCTTTAGGTTATACTTATAATCGAGTATGAAAAGTTTGCATACGAATCTCTTAATAGTAAGGAATTTATACACCTGTAATACCTTATTCCGGGAAGTACCCCGAAATTTGAAAGGGAAGAAGCACAGTTCCCAATTATGGCTAGCAAGACAGTTACAAGATCCTTATGTAGAAATGGCAAAACAAGAGAATTATAGGTGTAGAAGTGCATTCAAGTTGCTAGAAATAAATGATAGATTCAACATATTTAAGCCTGGGCAGACTGTGATTGACTGTGGTGCTGCCCCTGGTAGTTGGACACAAGTTGCTGTTAAAATGACCAATGCGGATGGCAAACACAACAGTGCCATTGGGAATGTAATTGGAATAGACAGGCTGCCAATTTATCCAATCAAAGGTGCAACTTTGTTAAGTAGAACAGATTTTACTGATGCAGCATCGCAAGATAAAGTTATGGAACTCCTAAAAAACAATAAAGCAGATGTAGTTTTATCAGACATGGCACCAAATGCATGTGGTATAAGAGACTTGGATCATGATAATATAGTGAAACTTGTATATGCTGCTTTGATGTTTGCTTTAAAAACTATGAGAGTAGATGGAACATTTGTTTGTAAATTATGGGACGGTGGAAAGTCTCAACAACTGGAGAAAGATTTGTTAAGATTTTATAAATCTGTTAAGACTGTAAGACCGCAAGCTACAAGAGATGAGTCTGCAGAAAAGTTTTTTTTAGCTAGGAGATTTAAAGGAGTAGAAGGTATATCCATTGATACAGTGTAACATGTAGTTTCATTAACGATTAAGATATATACAATAAAAGGTGCTTAATGGATAAAATGATTTGTAACACAATTGTGTACCATGCCTGGACAGGTTGTAAATAACAACAAAGTACAATATTTTGGTATAAGACCAACATCAAATGATTTTATAACTTCTTCCATTTGCAATCTAGCAGACTCCTACACAACACGACAAATATAATATACATCAATATATTTAGCTATAAATAATACAATAGTATTTAAAACAGTTACAATTAATACACATTAAGATGCTGGTAATGCTTCTTAATTACGCTGTATATACAATTCTTCTTAATAAAATTAATATGTACACAAATTAACATTCAATATATGAGAAAGAGGGATTACACACCACATCGAAGCATACGTAGAGCAATAAACAATTACTGGCCACGATGACAGATACATAATTTCTTTCCTTAATTGTATGCGATAGTCTCATGTAAAAAATTTCACTTCGTATAAAATCTGTACGAGTTTTGTGTTCCAAGGAAAATTCTTGCACACATAAAATAGAAGAGGGAAGGATTTCAATGACGATCTAACTGCTCCGGGTGTTACTTTCGAAGAATTGACACGGAACAATGATAATTTCATGCATCGAAAACATTCATACTATATGGATACATGTTTTTGTAAATTTCGATTCAATTATACTGGAGAGACATAAAATGTTGAAAGTTTACACGCACAATTGCACAAACATGCACACACTTTATATTCCTCCATATAAAAGTAAATACGATGATTCACGCGATGAAGCTGAATGACAATATTTCATTGCTTAAGAGAACAATTTGCGTGACAGATTGTGATTTTGTGTTCTATAAATAAATCAATACCGCTAAAAATCAGTCTGATTCGATATACCAGGGTCACAAGTGTGTTTTGAGTTCGTGAACTCAGATTCCGCGTTTACATACATACGCGATGCACAGATATTTTGAAGGTGATTTTTCACAGGTGATGAACCTAACCCAGATCCAACATTCGATCGCTTTACACTTTTTTCTTTTTATTGCTAAAGCGATATCGAGCAACAGTATATCCTATTCGTTGCGAAAATTGGATTATCGATGACGCATCGACAAACTGTAAAGAAATTGCTTCCGATCTATCCGAGTATCAGTATTGGGCTACGATTTTCGGCGTACGATTTCTTATCTTGTATACGTTCCGTTAACGATTAAATGATCAAGCGCGACCTTGCCCGTCGTTATTACAGCTCGTTTGTTTTCATAACAGACGTTCCATGTGTCGATGTTCTCTGTATAATAGCGCGATATACCGGTAAAGTATTTCTGGTTTGCGTGCCACGAGGTATACGATTCTGACGTATAAAGAGTACGAACGTTAAAAATAAAAAGATTTTGCGAAAATTTCGAATCGTTACCGTTGTTTTACTTTTCGCAAAATGGCAGAGAATTTCGATTTCCTTTTTATTCAGTAACAGTTTACAAGATTTTAAAAAAAGGGTTCAGGACTTATTGTTAGAGTATGTACAGTACAGTAAAACCTCTATAAATGCACCCTCGCGAGAATCTCGTTTACTTAGCAACGATCGAAGGCGGGAGCGGAAGTAACAGGTAGTAGAGCTACATATATGTATACTGGTGTAAAAGGAATTCCATATTGGATCAATTATCTCGATCATTGGGCGAGTTTTGTTACTTGCAGAAATTTATAGCGAGGTTCTACTTACTAAACTGACAAAAAAAATTCACAAAGTATACGATTTTTACGTGCAGAGCACCTTTTCAACTGCGCGTATTTTTGTTAATAAATGCGGTAAAATTACGTGCAAATACACGTAAGGGAATGAAACTGCCCTGAAAGATTCGACCCTCCGCGAAATAAAGTAATTCGTTTACTTTTTTATTAATTTTTCTTTTTTCACTGATATGTACGCAATATTATTTCCCGCCAAAAACCATAACAAAATGTGTTTTGAAAACATCGTCGCGTCGTCGATGATTTTGAATATAGCATCGGAGGGGTGAAGCTTTGCAGGGTTAGTTTCATCCTTTAACCCCCTGACGTATTGAAAATTATTAAACTTAACACGCTTCTTTCCGACACAAATGAGATTTTTTAAACCGCAAAACAGATAAACACGTGTCAAGTCATCTTGTATTATTTTTATGACGAACGGAGTAATATATGTTATTATTATCCTATGAATACGTGTCCCTCATTTTTTAATACTTGCTACTATGTTAATTAAGCATTTTACATAGAGTTTAATTAGTACCAGATACTTCCAAAGTCTTAAATATTTTGTTTCGATCATTCTGAACACTTGATTATAGAAAGCTCTCCTCGCGGTGTCCAGTTGTTGGCTGAATTTTAACACCCGTTATTACGTAATCTGTTTCAGTTCGCTAGCTTATCACTTTCTCTGCCTAAAGTAGTACTGACTTTTCCCTTATTAACATAATACCGTATCGAGTATACGAAAGCCTCTAAAGGTATTGAATTTTGTTAAATGAACTCTTACATCGAAGCATTAACTCTACAAGTACAATTTGATTAAAGAGCATTTTGGATTGCTGATCACATGACTGAGGTCACACGAGTTAAAAAACGCAACACGAGAAAAAAAGAAAGATCAACGTGATCCATGGAAGTAAACTCATTGTTCGTTCATTGTCGTAGTACAATCTTCCACGATATTATTGCTATCAATATGGTTGCGTTAGAAAAGACGTCGTGTGATCTTAACTTTTACACGATTAGTTCGAGGATATTCACGCTATTAATACTATCAATCTTACTAACAGAAGATCCTTAATCGATAAATTAGGCCTACGTAAGTTTTCTTCGAACGGAAATTACGAACTGTTATAGCAAAGTATAAAAAGAAAAAGAATCTACGTATACAGTGGGTGGAAAGAGTATTTTCACGTTCAGGTATTTTGCAATAACTTTCATCGAAGAAAAACAATAACGCTGATAGGTATTTTATTCGATAACTCGATAACAATTACAATACCTTGAAAAGTAATCGAAAACGTAAATCTGATAGTCAACAAACTATTCCCAAAATGGCTATTTCTAAATGGCTTTGAAACTAAATTAAAAGATGCAAATAAATCTTTTACAGTAATGTATTTCAAGGATTTCAGAACATCAGTTTCTCTACAAGATCAAATTATTTTGTTTCGTTCTAGAGGTGAAAGTCATCGTCAAACTGGTTAAACTTTGAACTCAAGTTTCTCAAGAAGATTGCAGGCAATAATTGATGCAAATGGAAGGCAAAAAAAATATTAAAACATTTTTTTATTTCTCTGAAATTGTCCCTTTTTCCTTAAAGTCAATCATCGAAGAAAGTATGTCTCAACGTTTTTTTCCCTTTCAAAAAAAAGTTATTGTAAAAATGACTGGACGTGCAAATACTTTTTTTTAATCCATTGTACAGTCGCTTTTATTGCTATGGAATTTAGTTAAATCGAGTTGGAAGTGACGAAATTAGGCCTGAACGAACGTTCGGTGAAAGATCATAGACTCGCGTCGCTGATAGTGTAGGTGCATGTGTGTGTGTGTGTGTTCGTAGAATGCCACTAGTAGCGCATTGCATTTTCGCTCGCAATCGTGAAACGTTCCGTGGACGATCCACGGTTTCGAACAGTTTCAACATGATTCCCATCTCGTCCTTGGTAGATCTAGTATATTTATTTCTTCTCTGAGAAACGATCGCTCGTAAATTCCTCCAACGCCGCCGCGTAAAGTCTGTTAACGAAATTACGCAATGCTAGCGGTAGTGCCGCGTATCGGGCGCAGCTCGCGCGGATCTGCGTCTTCGTTAGCTTCGATCGCAAGTACGCGTACTATGCGATCAATCGACCCGTCTATCAGTTCTCAGCGACGGACGAATCGGGCGGCACGCAAATTGCTAGTCGGCAAGAGTTCACGACTCTTAATTTATTTGGCACAGTTCCACAGTCTGTAGACGTTCCCACTGAGAGCAACGAGGCGTGAAAACACCAAGAATCCCGGCGACACACCATTATCCACCGATAGGTGTCCCCGATTTCTGCACGAGCAGAGCCCCATTTGCATCACGCGGCGAACAATGCGTGGTAGAAATTGGCCCTTCAGGAAGGCGACACCTCCGGGAATCGGTTGTTGGTGTACGGTTGACTGTTCGTCGTTTTTCCGTGAACGTTCTGGTCGGTCGAGTAGAGACCAGGATCCCTCATCAGAGGCATGGTCGTCCAAAATGACATAGAGAACGGCGGCTGTCTCTGTCTCTGGCTGGTAGACGTCATTTCCAACTGCTGACCCGCCGTTTGCTGTCGCGACGACGTTCTCCAAAGAGACGCTCCTCGGTGGAAGGGTTTCTGATGAGGGAAGACGCTGCTCTTCGTGCTGGAATGTAGTCCATCGTCCAGGGGATAGGGAACTCTCTCCTTGTAGTCTTGATTGTGTATACTGTTCACGTCCTCCGAAGGGAACTTTATCGGTTGCTTGGGATAGGCAGAATGTCTGTTGTTTTGAATTGCTCTGAAATTCAACGCCTCCGGCTCGAAAGTTTTCACGGAGCTAGAGGCTTGGGATTTTTTTAAGAACTCCTTGTTCTCGGCGGATTGCTCGTCGATCATGTGGATCTCGGTGTTGGGATCGTCCTCCGTGTACTGATCGCGAAAACTAGGATCGTACAAAAGAGACTCGGACGAGGACGGGGCGGCTTCCAGCTCGTCGCTTTTGGGATCGTCCAACGGTCGCAGATCGATCTGTTCCTGCTCGTTTCGTATCCTCCCGTGCACGTTGGTGGACACGGTCCCGTGAACGTTCTGAGGCGAGAACACCACTTCCGGCTCCGAATTCGGCTCCATACCCGACTCGAACAGCTCTCTCAAATCCTCGTCGCTCTCGTCGAAGTTGCTCGCACGATTAGCGTCGGTCGCGTTCGAATTGTTACGCGCCTTTTCCGTGGTCACGTCCAAAAGCGTGGTCTCCAAGATGATGTCGCCGTTGATGCTAACTTCGCTGGACACGTTGCTGCCAGCCTCGTCCTTCTCCTCCCTCTCCGGAGTGGCGGAATCGTTGAAACGGATCGAAATCTCGTCAAAAAAATCGACCCTCGACGTTTCGTTTCTCCTCGTCTTGTTCGACCGTTCCGTTTCTTGCCGATGCTTGTCCATGTGCAATCGTTTTATGTCTTTCACGCGTATCGCCATTCCAGCCTCTCCGTGCTTCAAGATCTCGCCGCCTTCTCTCTCCGACGACTCTTCGTCCGGCAAATCCGTACCGTCGACGTGATCCTCCATTCCCTCTTCGTCGTCGTAGTAAGACTCTTTTTCCTGCGACTCCCTTCCGTCCGAATTCCAAACTTCAGACGAGTTACCATCTTGCGTCTCGTTCCCTTCGAGTTTCTCTACCACGGCGCGTGGTATTTCGAGTAATTTGTTCACCGATGTAAATTCCGGAGCATTCGCACCGACAGTTTCTTTATCGGTGTCGCTCCTGGTCGTGTTGCTCAACCCAACGTTTGCATGGTAGCTGGTGCTGTTGTCCGGTTCCAGATCCTCCCCATTCGGCGTTGACGATTTCAGCGACGTCGCCTTCGACGGCAGGAGGATCAACATGGGCGACACCTCGGTCGAATTCAACAGCGATCCGTTCTTCCATGCGTCCTGATCCTCGCTAACGTTGATGGTCCTCAAGCCCGATATGTTCAAGAGCTTTTTCAGGTCAATCGGGATTTTATAATCGACCACTTCGGAGAAGCTGGTCTCGTTAGTATCGTCGACGAACTCCGCCACCGGAATCACATCGTCGAGCTTCGACGGAGTGCTCTGATCGTCTTTGCCGGACGGAGGAGGACTGGAAGTCCTAGGCAAATACGTGGTCTCCTCCTCTTCCAGCTTGGTACTATTTTTCGTTTGATGAGTCGTGATAACAGGCTCCGACGTGCCTTTTCTTTCGTTCGGATTTATCTCGTCGTAATGGGGCACCACTATCGGGATCTTTATGGAATCTCTGGTCTCCTCGTGATCGACTTTAGAGGATTGAGAGTTCGCGTTGGAGAACAGGGGTATGTTCAGTTGGAAAGGTTCGCTGGACTTCTTCGGATTGTTGTTGGACGCGTATCGATTCTTCAGTCGCTGAAGAAGGAAATCGAAGTGGGCCTCGTGGTCGATGTTCACGCTTTTCACGCATCTGCCCATCGTGTCGGCGTGGTAGCCCTCCGCGCACGGGGGCAACGCCGGCAATTCGGGGGCAATGAAGACGCTCTTCGGTGTTATACGTCGAAGGAAACTAGACGAATCCAAGCTGGAGTGCACCCCGGTTTGAGAATCCAAGAGAAGCCAAGCTTGCCAGGCCAGTTCGCTCGGTGAGCCTAAGTTCTGCGACCTCGATTCGGAGGAGCTTCTTGATAACGTGGACGACAAGGAGGATGAATTTGAGTCGGTCAATCTTTTTGCAGGCACCAGTTCGCAGTGCCTGACGAGACCGGAAAAGATGACAGCAACGAAGAGCATTCTCCATCGAGGATGCCTTCGTCTCTGGCTTATCGCGACCATTTTCTTTTTATTGGATGCGGTTTCTTGCGGGATTCGTTCGAGGTATCTTGAAGATTCTCGTCTGAAACCTGCTCGTCACCTTCCTCTCGAGGCTCGACGCATCGGAAACGTCTGCAAACAAAAAGATAACAATATGTGTATAATTATTATGTCGCCGGTCGAACGTCGAGCGTACCGTGTTCAATTATGACTGAACGATTTCTAGGATATTGCAATTTTTAGCTTCCCGAAATAACTAATTAACAACAACCCAATTTTGTCTAAAGTGGAGCCATAGCCATATTAAGAGTATTCTTCTAATTCAATTATTTTCAGACGTGCAAATAAACATGACAGCGTTATACGCGTCGGACGTCAGAGATTCGTTAAACTGTTTCAAACGATTAAATAATTCAAGGAAAGTTCGAAAGCTTCTATTCCCGTTATCGATAACACGGCGTACAGAAGAGCATTCAGGAAGAATCAGAATCGAGAAAGAAAATAGCTCGTGATACAATATTTGCATTCAGCATCGGTTGTCAGAACTTTCACTCCAGCATTGAATCATCTCTAATTGCCGCGGTAGCCTACTTTTCAGCTTTAATAGACGCCATTTGCTTAGATGACATCTGCGTACATTCCGGAAACTTATTTAACAGATTGGTATTTCCTGCGACGATATCCGCTCGAAATCACAGCTGGGGCTGCACAGTTAATTAGTATCACGCGTCGATCCGCGACAATAAATCTTCGAGTCCTAAAGGGAGGAATTCGAGGAAGTAACAAGTCTCTAAATTAACCGAGACGCTTCGAGTTTCCCAAAATTTGTCTCCAACGTGCAAGCAACGGGGATATAAAGTCTGCTTTTACTTAGTTTCGTCAAGAAACTAACATTTAAAAAAAACTGTAACATTTAACACTAAATTTACGGACATTAATGTACCTTTTTCTTTTGGTTGGGATATAAATTCTAAAATCAAATTTACGCGTATCGATACACCCGAAGGGGTTAAATTTGTTATCGATCCTTATTCCGCGCTCTGTTCCCTACTATTTTTACTCGACCCACGTCGGATCTGAGCGTATCAGTTTCCACGGAATTGAGTTTTCCTTTGTCGATTTCATTTTTCCGCGCGTTTTTTCCCTACCGTACGAAAATCGAGAGCGAATCGAGGCAGATTGCGGATCGGCCACGTTCTTGCGAGTGTAACGCCGAAAGGAAAGGGTAATTCCATTAGAGTTATTTGTACACCGCGACTGGATGGATCAATGACTCGTCAGTTTAAAAGGTATTGCATGCCCGTGGCTGTCTTCGTCTGCGCGTATGCATTCAACTGCATGTGCATGGAACGGGGAAAAGTGAATGCACGCCGATCTGTTTTTACCGTTATGCAGCCACGCCACGATTATGTCTACATCGTGAATAGGCCGTATAAATAGGAGATTCGGCCTCACGAACGTGTCAGGCATCAACACCTTTGGAAACGGAGGACACAGGACACGGACGACGAATTTCCTAATCGAAATTTCACTCGTGATCGATCATTTCGTCAGATTTTCTCACGCGCTCCTTTCATTCTTGATCATCACACTCACGTACTTTCGTTTGTATTAATGGACCAAGAGGACATCTTATTCAAACTGTTATTAATCTATTAGTTTATGTTAAGTTGGCTCGTAAACAATTCTTTATCGTATTCGTTCACTATAATGGGGATTCGCTATAAATGGCAAGAATCTTCTTTTAAATTCTTTCTATTCATTTTTACACCAAATATTATTTATTGTACTTAAGTAACATCTGATTGAATTAATAACAGAATGTGTAGAGGAAGTGCACTCATGTAAAACTGTTTCGTGCGATTGTAATTTACTTTCAACCGAGTCTATCTATTTCGATTATGAGGATTCACGAAAAAATCAACGTATTGCCAAGGCACCTTTATGTCAGCTATAGAAACATTTATGCTACAATCCTTATTGGTATTTAATGGCCTTTTGACTGTTGCGTATCGATAACGTGCACGTGATATCCTTGATCTTTAAAGGTATGAAAATGTTAGGTCGAATGTACAATCGGTTCTGCATTGTGAAAAACTTGTTGCAAGTCGGGCTGGAAAAAAATTTAATGGCGTATATGAAACAAATATATAATTATCCGGGGTAAAAATTGATTTACTTATGTAAGCTTTCAACCGTAAACAGCGAATACGGATTATTGATACGATGACAGCATATAATAGACTGAATCGATGGTTTTGCCGCTTTTTATTACTTAATTCTAAAATCTTATACACTCGTATATTCACCACGACCTTTCTGGACAATGAAAGTTACATTAAAACGAAGCGTCAGAACAAGGTAGAATCAAAGGTCAGATTACTCTAAGAGTCTACATTTTCTCATGTAAATCACGAGTAGGGTAATTTCGTTGCTCTTCGAGGACATAGTTTAGGTCAACTTGAAGTCTCTGATCCTGCACTAAAGACGAAACTTGTTATCAAAGGGAATACGAAACGAAGAAAGATAAATGGCTCGAAGCCGTTCATAAATCAGGATTATCGAGAAACTTTTAAACAGAAAAGTCTTAAAGAATCCATTTAACATCGGTCTTTAAAGGAGATCAGACTACTTGACTTGTTTTCAAATCCAGCGATACTTCAACTCCAACTAATTCCTAATCTTTTCCTTGATAACCGACATCAAAGGTTGAAAGTGAAACGGATTAGAAAAAATTGAGAGAAGAATGCAAATGCCTCCAACATGAGCACATTGATAGCTATTATCGTAACTGGACGAACTTTGAATAACAAGCAATATAAAATGATAATGTCGATAATGGGTTTGTTCGGGGGTTGAATAATCGCGTGCCTTAAGTATCTATTTAGAGATACCAGAAAGAATGTTCTACATTCTTGCACACTGTTAATTAACGACTCGTGTGAACAGCCCGTGTATCTTTATCAAAGATTATTAAGGTACTAACTGCGTTATAACGATGGGAATTGTCTCTATTTAGCCCTGTTTTCGTGTCTTACAAGACCCGGGATTTCCAACACGTGGAACAAATTCTATTCCTCTTATGATCTATGATCGTACATTTGGTTGACTTTCTATTTAATACGAAGACATTAGGGTACTTTCATACAGGGTAGTTTGTTCATGGAGGGTTCGTTGAAAAGTTATTAACAATTAAATTCAAAAATTTCAAATCGTTCTGGAAAAATTATTTTCCATTGCAGGGGTTAATTACAATCACTTTTGGTGAATAGACATATCCCCGAATTCCTATCCACTTTCTAGAAAAAAATTCGACAAGGTGTGAAATTTTTCGACGAGAAAAAAAATTTCAAATCGTTCTGGAAAAATTATTTTCGGTTGCGGGGGTCAAGTACAATCATTTTTGGTCATTATAATTACCCCCGAAATCCTACCCACTTTCGAGAAAAAAATTCGAAAATGTGTGTAATTTTTCGATGGAAAAAAAAATTTCAAATCGTTCTGGAAAAATTATTTTCGGTTGCGGGGGTCAATTATAATCATTTTTGGTCATTATAATTACCCCAAAAATCCTACCCACTTTCGAGAAAAAAATTCGAGAATGTGTGACATTTTTCGAGGGAAAAAAAAATTTCAAATCGTTCTAAAAAAATTATTTTCAGTTGTGGGGGACAATTACAATCATTTTTGGTGAATAGACATACCCTCGAAATCCTACCCACTTTCTAGAAAAAAATTCGAGAAAGTGAAATTTTTCGACGAGAAAAAAAATTTCAAATTGTTTTGGAAAAATTATTTTCATTTGCGGGGGCCAATTACAATCATTTTTGGTGAATAGACATACACTCGAAATCCTGCACACTTTCGAGAAAAAAATTCAGTACAGGCGGAACTTTAAACGTTAATAACTTTTTAACGAAGCCTCCATCAACAAATTGGTATTCTTGATTTTCGCCTTATTTTGGCCTCTAGAATCCCCCATTAAAATTTTTCCCAGGGTTGGCCGAACACCCTGTATAGTAATTTTAATTCCATTCATGACCATTCTATTCATACTTGGTGCTGATAGTACAAATAACTCAATTCAAATCGTGTTATCGTAAACGATTCTGACGAAGCATCTCGTTTAATTTTATTATGTTCAATGAATGGATCAACTTACGTTCGATCGTGGATACACCACGAATTTGAGGAGTTCGATTACTGGGATTAGTTTGTTTTAAATAAAATGATATTAATTCTATTTACTTTAATAATATAGGAAATCAGTATAGTATACTGCAAATTCTGATTTCCCTTTCCAGCGACATAGTTTTGCAAACTCCTGGATAAGCAGTAATTGAACGAAAACGTGTCTAAAGTAAAAGGAACGTGAATAATTCATTCCTATTTGAATTAATTGATTTGTGTTGGAGTCTGATTTGCTCATGCAGTCGGGCGTTATCTTGATGGGAAAAACACGTTTTCTGTTAGAGAAATTAGGCCGATTTAATTCAATGCTGACTGCAATAAATAATATACTTCCACGTCGATCGATCGATTGGATCTCAGCGCCTCGAAATGGATCTATTCCTTGTATAATCGATCAGAGAACAAAATCGTATAACGTAAATGTGTCTCTACAGCACTTAGTCAAAAATTAATGAATTCTACGATGACAAATAATGATTCAGTCTCTTTACTCTTTCGACGCGACTACATCGGATCATTACTTAATCAGCAGTTTGCAAAACCATCTGAAAAGGAGTTAAGAAATTTAATATTGACGCGTTCAGAAGATAGCTGACAAAAAAAAAAAATTAAAAACTCCATTGACGATTTTTTGTCTGTGCGCCATTTGGGTGGTTGCCAAAGATATCCCCAATTTTAGGGGCTTTTCTATAATTGTCGAGATTCTGTTATATACGTATTTGTCATTGAAATTGTACAAAATGGAAAAAGTCACGTGGAGGATTAATAACGTGTGTTTTTAATAGAAATAAGTATTTTCATCGCGATAGACAACACCGACCGGTCCGTGT